TGTGTGGCGCCCGACTTTGATAACCAATTATCATTCGTCAGTGTGGAACTAGTTGAGGAAAAACGTGCCGGCAAACTGTTAACTTATTAGCTTGGGATGATTATACGTTAAGGTTTTTTTTTTCTGTTTTGGCGGAATTGGATTAGCACACGAGAAAGTTTATATTGGTTACTATGAAGAATATTCAAATATCTATTGTGTCAATAACCTTGGCAGTGCAAGAGGTCAATACCTATACAGAATAATATCTACATAATAAAAACACTCTTTGGCAATGAAGTTTGTTGCCAAATTAATTACCACACATTATTTTTCCATTGAATCATGCAATAATTCCCAACAAACTACGTAGGTTTATAGGTAACAACCGTAATTGGTTGGAACTGATTATGCATTCAAAACAGCAATTATTTTTTTCAGATAGTTGGGGAAGGTCATTAAAATACGTTAGTTTCATTTTTGCGTAAGTATTAACAATGCAAGATATTTACCTACCTACCTACTATGATTTTTAGAAAAATTTATCTGCACAACAAATTACGGATATCTCCCAATCGGTCGAATAATTTCAAGCTCAAAAGGCACCGACCACACTTTTATGAGACTTTTAAATCTTTCGAACCACTGTGATAAGTGATAACTCATTATTGTACTATGCTGATTCTGATCCATTCAAAGATGAATATTTCAAGTCCAGTTCATTTCATGTAGGTACCTATCTCCATTGAACCAACCTTATTTCACTTTTCCAAAAAAAGAAGAGACATTTTGTAATTTGAAATGTTTAGAACCAACTATTTTAAAAATCCACAACCTACATAGAAAATTAACCATGAAATGTTTTGGACCAAATTACAGGTCGATGTTTGTGTGTGTGTGTGGGTCAACATCTGTTTTGTTTGGAAACAAAAGTGCGTTCTAATTCCGCTAATTGGATGTGCACGTATAATTTTGGAGAAGAGCCACACAAAATTCCCGAACTAATAATAACCTCTGGATAGGATTTCAAGGAAACCATAGACTGTAATAAATGGGTAGGTAGCAAGAAATCGATTGGGCGTGAAATAAACTAATAAGTGACGTGATTAGTTTATTGACTATATAGTTTTTTTCTTGGCAATGGTTCAATGATTATTAGGGGTCAATTTTTACGTAATACCTACCTACATAATCCAGGAATTAGATAATAAATATTTTCTTCTCGGAAATTATGGGTTTCCATGGGTTTTTAATGGTTGGTGTAGAATATTGTTAGAAATATCTCAAGCTGAGGAACTTATGCACACTCTTGCAACACCGTCTAGAAAATCCTAGAAGCAACGACGACATGTTACGGGCCCATTTCTGGCTACGCCACTGTCCTTGTCAAAGAAAAAAACATAGTTCTTGAATTATGCAATTTTTGACAGCTGTCAAAATTAAATGTCCAATGAGCTTGTAAAAAAATTGTCTCTTGTCAAATATCACTATTTTGACGGTTACAGATACTTGAATGTTTGATGAGCTTTAAAAAGTGCGTCATTGTGATAGAAAAATATGTAGCTCTTGAATTGAGCAATTTTCAACAGCCGTCAAAGTTTAATTTGATAGTTTAATGTCTAATGAGTTTTTGAAAAAATTGACTCCTGTCAAATATCACTATTTTACCGGTTACAGATACTTGAATGTCTGATGAGCTTCAAAAGGTGCGTCATTGTCATAGAAAAATATGTAGCTCTTGAATTGAGCAGTTTTCGACAGCTGTCAAAGTTAAATTTGATAGTTGAATGTCCAATGAGCTTGTAAAAAAATTGACTTTTATCAAATCTCATTATTTTGTCAGTAATGTCCGATGAGCTTCAAAATGTGTATCATTGTCACAGAAGAAAACGTAACTCTTGAACTATGCAATTTTCGACATCTGTCAAAATTGAATTTGATAGTTGAAGGTCCAATGAGTTTGTCAAGAAATTGACTGTTGTCAGATATCACTATTTTGACGGTTACAGCTACTTAAATGTTTGATGTGTATCAAAAGGTGCGTCATTGTTATAGAAAAATATGTAGCTCTTGAATTGAGCAATTTTCAACAGCCGTCAAAGTTTAATTTGATAGTTTAATGTCTAATGAGTTTTTGAAAAAATTGACTCCTGTCAAATATCACTATTTTACCGGTTACAGATACTTGAATGTCTGATGAGCTTCAAAAGGTGCGTCATTGTCATAGAAAAATATGTAGCTCTTGAATTGAGCAGTTTTCGACAGCTGTCAAAGTTAAATTTGATAGTTGAATGTCCAGTGAGCTTGTATAAAAATTGACTTTTGTCAAATATCACTATAGTATTTATCTCTGATCATTATTTTGACGGTTATAGACACTTGAATATTTTATAAGGCTTCAAAATGTGTATCATTGTAACAGAAAAATCTGTAGCTCTGCAATTAGGCAATTTTTGACAGCTGTCAAAGCTGAATTTGATAGACGAATGTCCAATAAGCTTGTAAAAAAAATGAATCTTGTCAAATATCACTAGGTATTTTGCCATTAATGTCCAATGAGTTACAAAATGTGTATCAGTGTAACAGAAAAATCTGTAGCTTTGGAATAAGGCAATTTTTGGCAGCTGTCAAAGCTGAATTTGATAGACGAATATCCAATGAGCTTGTAAAAAAAATGACTCTTGTCAAATATCAGTAGGTACCTTGCCATTAATGTCCAATGAGTTTCAAAATGTGTATCATTGTAACAGAAAAATCTGTAGCTCTGGAATAAGGCAATTTTTGGCAGCTGTCAAAGCTGAATCTGATATATGAATGTCCAATGAGCTTGTAAAAAAATGATTATTGTCAAATATCACTAGGTACCTTGCCATTAATGTCCAATGAGTTTCAAAATGTGTATCATTTTAACAGAAAAATCTGTACCTCTTGAATTAGGCAATTTTTGACAATTGTCAAAGCTGAATCTGATATATGAATGTCCAATGAGCTTGTAAAAAAATTAACTCTTGTCATATATCACTAGGTACCTTGCCATTAATGTCCAATAAGTTTCAAAATGTGTATCATTTTAACAGAAAAATCTGTAGCTCTGGAATTAGGCAATTTTTGACAGCTGTCAAAGCTGAATTTGATAGACGAATGTCCAATGAGCTTGAAAAAAAAATGATTCTTGTCAAATATCACTAGGTACCTTGCCATTAATGTCCAATGAGTTTCAAAATGTGTATCATTGCAACAGAAAAATCTGTAGCTTTGGAATTAGGCAATTTTTGACAGCTATCAAAGTTGAATTTGATAGACGAATGTCCAATGAGCTTGAAAAAAAAATGATTCTTGTCAAATATCACTAGGTACCTTGCCATTAATGTCCAATGAGTTTCAAAATGTGTATCATTGCAACAGAAAAATCTGTAGCTTTGGAATTAGGCAATTTTTGACAGCTATCAAAGTTGAATTTGATAGACGAATGTCCAATGAGCTTGTAAAAAAATTAACTCTTGTCAAATATCACTAGGTACCTTGCCATTAATGTCCAATGAGTTTCAAAATGTGTATCATTTTAACAGAAAAATCTGTAGCTCTGGAATTAGGCAATTTTTGACAGCTGTCAAAGCTGAATTTGATAGACGAATGTCCAATGAGCTTGAAAAAAAATGATTCTTGTCAAATATCACTAGGTACCTTGCCATTAATGTCCAATGAGTTTCAAAATGTGTATCATTGCAACAGAAAAATCTGTAGCTTTGGAATTAGGCAATTTTTGACAGCTGTCAAAGCTGAATTTGATAGACGAATGTCCAATGAGCTTGTAAAAAAATTAACTCTTGTCAAATATTACTAGATACCTTGCCATTAATGTCCAATGAGTTTCAAAATGTGTATCATTGTAACAGAAAAATCTGTAGCTTTTGAATTAGGCAATTTTTGATAGTTGTCAAAGCTGAATTTGATAGACGAATATCCAATGAGCTTGTAAAAAAATTGACTTTTGCCAAATATCACTATGTACCTTGCTATTAATGTCCAATGAGATTCAAAATGTGTATCATTGTAACAGAAAAATCTGTAGCTCTTGAATTAGGCAATTTTTGACAGTTGCCAAAGCTGAATTTGATAGACGAATGTCCAATGAGCCTCTAAAAAAATGCATTCTTGTCAAATATTACTATCTTGCCATTAATGTCTGATGAGTTTCAAAGTGTGTATTATTGTCACAGAAAAATCTGTACCTCTTGAATTAGGCAATTTTTGACAGTTGCCAAAGCTGAATTTGATAGACGAAGTCCAATAAGCTTGTAAAAAAAAGACTCTTGTCAAATATCACTAGGTACCTTGCCATTAATGTCTGATGAGTTTCAAAGTGTGTATTATTGTCACAGAACAATCTGTACCTCTTGAATTAGGCAAATTTTGACAGCTGTCAAAGCTGAATTTGATAGACGAATGTCCAATGATCTTATAAAAAAATTGACTCTTGTCAAATATCACTATCTCGCCATTAATGTTCGATGAGTTTCAATGTCACAGAAAATTCTGTAGTTACCTTCTCATCAATGTCTGATGGGTTCCAAATTGTCACAGAAAAATCTGTACCTCTTGAATTAGGCAATTTTTGACAGCTGTCACAGCTGAATTGGATAGTTGAATGTCCAATGACCTTGCACCAAAATTGGCAACTGTTAAATATTTGAACACTGTTGAGCTTTTTAAATAGAAAAGGTTTCTAATACTTTTGAATGGAATTAGCAACAAACCTTTGCTATAGCACATTATACACTAAACTTATAAGATATGCACGAGAGATTACTTAGTAAATTAATTACATATGTATGCTTGACATATACACCAAATCATTTGCATACTCGCCTTTGAGTCTGAAGATACACTTAATGGCTTTTCGCCATAGCCTTGCGTGAACAAAAATGTTGTATTTTCAATTTAAAAATATTTCTTCGTCCACACAAAAGGTATATTGTTTTAATAAATTCTTTACAGAGTTTATTATTTTCTCCATGCAGATTTCGACAAAAGAAGAATCCATTTTAGAATGAAACAAGAGCTGATTGCCAATGAGAATATACCGGTGTATATGTATATTTAAGTCCAATAAGTATTGTTAATCTGGTAAATTGAAGCTTCCAAAACGGCTCTACCGGAATTAAGCCATAGAAAAACCATAAAGAAAATCCAGTTGTCCTTGTTCAGGACATCGAAACGGACAGAGACAAAATCGAGAATTTTCCATCAACAACCCAAGTCCGCATCGTCTTCGTCTTCGGTCAGTTCGGGTGGCGTCATCGGTAAAGCTTCGGGGGTGGCGGTGACTTTGAAAGAGTGGTGGCGTGATGTGGGGCTCTGCCCCAGCCGCCCCGCCACTGCCTCGACGGTAGGCTCGAGCGGTGGGCGCGGTCGCATCAGACGGGGCCCTTTACGATCCATGGGCCAGTCGTTTAGCATGTGCAAATTTAACAATTGCAGACATAAAAAGAGTGAGTATACTTTCTATTAATATGATTTATGGAAGTTTGGCCAAGACTGGATTTTTTGATATAAGTCTTGGGTTTTTAATAAACTTATGGAAATTGATTTATTTTTGTTGGAATACTTAAATAAGAATTGTTTTCTCAATTCCAAATCAGATTTTCAGGAAACCTTTTAAATTTCCCTGTCTGTTGTGGGGATTCTTATACACCTGATAATACTTTATTGTAATTTGTAGTTGAGAATTAGCATAGGTCTATTATTGTTGTCATAGAGAATTAACAGTCCATCAATGAAATAATATACATATTTAGCAACGTCTAAACCTTAATATTAAAGAAATATATCTGAATAGCTATATCTGTAACCAAGTCTTGGAGTAACATTTTGAATATCGCCTAAAAGGAAATTATGCGACAACTCAAAAACATATTTTTAGCTCGATTTTCTGATGTTATAAATCATTTATTTCCCTTTTCTCCGTATTGAACTCGGCGGCTTCTGGGAAAAAAGGAATGTTCCGAAATAGAATTGTTGAAAATTACACCCCTCCAATCATTGTGTCTATCTTAGGGGCAGAAATATACAAAAATCGAGACAAAATCTAAAAGAAAAATGTTACTTTTATAAGAAATTCATATGGAAATAACAAATAGAGAAAAAACGAGGTTTGGAAGTTAGTTAATGTCATTTTCAATCTAAGAAAAGCCAAAAGAAAATTGATATTTTCCTAAAATCTCAATCGAGTTTACTACGAAATTCCAACTTTTCGCATCGTCACGCAATCTCCTTTTATTTTATCTGGGATGTCCCGTCCCAAGACTTGATGAAACGATAGCTTTAAAAATAGAGTTACACATTGATTGATGGTTTCACTTTATTTGTTCCTACATTGGACAAACAAATTCGTCGTTGAAATAAAACATCCCCACGCTTCAAATAGATACTTTATTGGGCTCTGATTTTCGAAGAAAATTTTCATGGAAATTCAATTCCAATTTAGCTCAATCTATCTAATTTTCATCGAAATTCGATTTCAATTTAACTCAATCTAGCTAGTTTTCATCAAAATTCCATTTCAATTTCTCCCTTGCACTAAATATACAGGGTGAAACTTATTAAAAATGTTTATGCCGTGTGACAAATCAGAAGTAGGTTGGAAATTTTAATAATTTAATACTCTTGCTTCTCTGACCAATTTCCGCTTCTCGTTGGAACAGACCACATAATTTCAGTACTCCATATTAAATTCTTTGAAAACCCATTAAGATCAACTTTAAACAAGACTAGTCAGGCTTTGTGTTATAATTTGTCTGTGATGACGTCACTACCTACTACCTACCTAATGGGTTTACCAAGGCACACACACCTTTTGTTTGTTGACTCCTTTCAAAAACATTTTACTAAGTTGCACTTTTTGAGTAAACTATACATTGACAAGTACCTAGGGATGCCGCAAGGCGAGACGAGACGAGAATACGCTCTCTCTCTCGTGTTATCTCGAGAATTCGAGGAAAAAAGATTCTCTCGTCTCGACGAAAGACCCTTGATACAAGACAAAAGAGCTCTTCTCTCGTCTCTCTTGAAGTGTTTCTTGGAAGACCTTTATTTTTGCAGCTTGCTCAAAATCACCCTGTAAGTGTATGATGGCATTCTTTTCTCAATAATTTTAGTCTCCCATCTAAAATTCCCTAAAATTCTCTATAAATTCTGGAAATTTTAACATTATCCCATGCATCTTAGAAAAGTTCGAAGATTCTAAAGTTTAAAACCTTAACAACTCAAGATTTTCCAAAAATTCTACCTGATATTCTTTGATCTTATATAACTTTTTGAAAAAATATCATAAATTGCTCAAACTTTTAGGATTTGTAGAGGATTTGAAGGCTTTCAGATTAACTATTTAGATCTATTTGAAATTCTAGTATAATGGCCTTCTAACCTTCCTCTTTGTATACTGCAAGTTTAAAATGTTCTCCTCAATAATTCTTTTTTAGTCTTAGCTCAGGAACTATTCATGTGATGGTTGTTAGGACGGGGTTCTAACCTTCCTCTTTCTATACTAAAAGTTTCAAAATGTTATCCTCAACAATTCTTTCTTAGTCTAAGCTCAAGAACTGTTCATGAGATGGTTGTTGGATCAATTTGAAATTCTAGTGTAACGGGGTTCTAACCTTCCTCTTTCTATATTGAAAGTTTCAAAATGTTCTCCTCAACAGTTCTTTGAAAAAATATTCATACTCATTTTCATATTCTAACCCTAAGAACTGTTTATGTAGTTGTTCGATCCCTTTGAAATTCTAGTATAATGGCCTTCTAACCTTCCTCTTTTTATACTGAAGGTTTCAAAATGTTCTCAACAATTCTTTCTCAGAACTGGTATTTCAATATTACCTTAAAACCAAGACTTAACTAAGGTACCCTTAATGTTAAAGTAAACTTGAAATTAATTCATTCAGGTGGCTTAAGATCCACCTTGATTTGAGAGAACTTTGATATATGGTGAAACTTTTATTAAGGATGACTTAACGTTATTCTATACCTTAAGGGAACATTGAAATACCGGCCCTTAGTCTAAGCTCAAGAACTGTTCATGTGATGGTTGTTGGATCAATTTGAAATTCTAGTATAACGGGGTTCTAACCTTCCTCTTTCTATATTGAAAGTTTCAAAATGTTCTTCTCAACAGTTCTTTCAAAAACTATAATAATAGTGCAAGAGGATGTTCCTATTTATAATAATTTTATTGGTCATTTCCATAGTCTAACCCCAAGAACTGTTCATGTGGTTGTTCGATCCATTTGAAATTCTAGTATAACCTTCCTCTGTCTATACTGAAAGTTTCAAAATGTTCTCCTCAACAGTTCATACCAATAATTCTCTTCTTGACAATATTCTTAATGGACTATTAATATGTATATAGTTTGGTTGATTTTACGATTATTGGCCATAAAAATAAGGAGTAAATCCTCCAATATAATCCAATTTATTGGCACTGAAATTCCCACAGAGCATTTCAATACTCAAATCGATTAAACTAATGGCAATAAATCACGTATGCTGTAACAATAAACGGATATTTATGTGGGTGCAGTTTGAATTGTACCTCTGATGTAAGTACAGAATTCTCAATTCATATAATATGAATTTCTATAAAAGGAAATTGTTTCTTTCAATAAATTCATATACTGCAGTAGGTAGTTCATCATCGATTATCAATTTGCCGGTCAGAATCCATTATAAGAGCAAAATAAATATTGTTACAGGATCGCCTTGATCATCCATGAAATTAGTTTCTCTTGTATCCTCGCTTTGTATAGTGCCGCAATATCCATTTTAAAACAGTTATAGTAGAGGAGAAATTGCCTTTGGGTTTTCTATTAATTATTGTATTACAGTGGCATAGCTAGGTGTCGGCGGCTGCCGACGGCCTCGCGCCCTAAGGAGCCTCGCAAAAAATAGGTTACCGAACCCTAAAAATTGGCACTTTTTGATTTCCCAAAATAAAACGGAGAGAACAAATAAACTTAATCCTATACGAAACTTCTAAATCTCATAGAATTCACTGAAAATTATTATTTCTACTGCAAATTAACCTAGAAATCTCAAATCATATGGTTTTTATTTTTTCGGTAGATTCTCGGTATTTCGATAAATCGGTAATTGTGGCACCGTTCTTATCACGTATTGTTGGTTAATTAAATTATTTAGCACTTTTCTCAACTGGTAGCCGACCCTCCAACTCCAACCTCCAACCGAGACATACGTACAGTATTTCGCTGTATTGTACAGGGTGTTTCCTCATATTTTGACCCCTAACTACAGCTCTAGCTATACGAGGTGGAAAAAAACTTTAGGTATGAAAGTTATATGGCCGTTTTCTCAATAGCAAGTCATCCCGGGGGTTAAGGATAACTCCAGGGTAAACATAGCAACTGGACACGCTTACCTTGGAGTTAAAACCAACCCGGAAGTGACTGGTGACTCGCTATTGAGAAACCGGCTCGTAGGTTTTTATGTCTATTATCTTTTGCGAATGTCAAAACGGGCGAATGGCAGGTGCCAACTGTCACAATGACAAACACTTGTATTTTTCAAATGGAACACCCTGAATATTTTTGGCTAGAATGATAGCTTTTTTTCTTCTGATTCAATGGCGGCTCGTGACTATTTCAAGTGAGGAGGCTAATTACAATATAGGATTTCATGAAATTCCTCGGAATTCCACTAAGATTTCAATTTCAAAGTTCCATATTTTTTTTTTAACTTTACTAAAATTTTTCAAAATTTTACCACTGAAATATCCTGGAATTCCACAAAATTTTCATAAATTTTTTTGGAATTTCATGTAATTTCTTAAAAATTTCTCGGAATTCACTAAAATTTTATGAGAATATCCACGTTCATAACCGAAAATTTCTCGAGAGTCCAATGAAACTTCAAGGAATTTTCAAAATTTAATTTATTTTCATAAGAATTTTTCGGAATTTCACTGAAATTCTCTTTTAATACCCAGGAATTTCTGGGAATATTAATGAAGTTTCAAGTAATTTCTTAAAAATTCATCGAAATATATTGAAATTTCTTTTTATTACATGGTAATTTTTCGGAATATCACCGAAATTTCATTTTTTTAGCTGGAAATTCCTTGGCATTACTAAAATTCAGTAAAAACTGAAATTTCATGTTGGGAATTTCGGTGTAATTTCATGTAATTGTTTAAAATTCCTCCATGTAATTCATTTAGGATTTCGTGTAATTCGATCGGAATTTCAGTGAAATTTCAAATAATTCGAGAGGAATTAAAATTTAATGTGAATTCTATGGAAACTCCGCAAAAATTTCACATCTAATTCCTTTTTCAGAATAACATAATTATTCTACCGAAATTCCACTAAATTATGGAATTCTGAGATTTTAATAGATTTTTGGGGATTCCAAAGGATATTTGGGAATTTTAAAGGAAATATTTTTCAGAAATGTCAATGATTGGGTTTGAAATAACCTATAAATCGAGATTTGATATAAACATATGGCAACGCTGCTCATGATACAACAAACGTCAAAAAATTGAAATTTCAAACCTTGGGTTTTTTTGACAATCGATACAAAATGACGTCTTTTTGTTTCAAAGATTACGGCCCGAAGGGCCGGAGTATGAAAAATCAGTTAACAATGAACGGGTTTCGGTCGGATAAAACTTTTGTCGCACGACACTTTGGCAATATCGACAAATGTCACCTGTCAAATTTGACACATGTTCGACTTTTTTCCCGCTCTGCTATAAAAGCTACGAAAATCAAACCCCGGTACAAGGCAGTTTCGCGACGCCAACTATCGATTTGTGTTAAAAAAAAATTGACAGCTGTCAACGTCAAAAAAGTTTTTTTATTTTTATTTTGCGAATTTCGAGAAAAATAGTGATAGAAAACGATCCCCGGACCCCAAAAACCTTAAATAAAATTTCCAAAAAAAAAACCAACGAAAATGACATTCTAAAACCTACTTGATAAAACTAAAGTTTTTCTCACTTACCCCGTTAAAACACTGGAAATTTTTGGTGGAAAATGAAGAAAACTCAAAGCCTCGTACTTTAAATCGGTTTTTCCGACCAGAAAAGCCCTGGAAAAGCGGACAAATTCAAAGAAAAACCTCTAAAAATGACATTCCAAAGCCTACTTAATGAAATTTGAGTTTTTGTCACTTACCCCATTGGAAAACTGGGAATTTTTAGCACAAAATGTAGGAAATTCAAAGCCTCGTATTTCTTGACTGAAAACGGCTTGGAAAAGTGGAAAATTTGAGGAAAAATTGAATAGAAATGTAAACACGTCAATTAAAAATTGCCGACTGTCAAAACTGGCAAATGACATTTATTACAAAACCTATTTGAAGTTAATACAAACGGTGTTGCCACATCGAAACTTCCAAAAAAAACATTTTAAATGGGATTTTGTTATTTATGTCATTTTAAAACTGGACATTTTTGCTAGAAAATGAAGAAAACTCAAAGCCTCGTATGTTAAATTGCCTTTTTCCATTGAAAAGCCCCGGAAAAGTGAAAAACTCGAGGAAAAACTGGCAAAAAATTACAAGGCGTCACTTCAAAATGGCCAACTAAAAGCAACGTTGCCACATCTCATTTCGGAAAACATAAATAACATTTTAAAAGGGTTTTTTTGTTTAAAATTCAATTTATTTATTAATTAATAATGATTATAGTAATTAAAATTCCCCAAATAAATTATAGGAAACTTGTTTTTAGTTTAATTTCAATGAAAATGACATTTAAAGGTTTACTTATTGATTATAGTGAGTAAGACAAAGACAATGATAAAGTAGTATATGTTTGCAAAAACCACCGTTTTCTGAAAAAAAATAAAAATCTTAAGAAAACCAACATTCCAAAGCCAATTTGATAAAACTAAAGTTTTTGAATATTCCTGACTCTTTGATCGGACGTTAGAAATCGCATTTTAAATACTCCCGGTTTTCAATTAGCTCTAAATTATCCGCTCACCAATAAAATTATAAACTAGGCCCCGTTATTAAAATAACTCTAGCCCTTCGGGCTCGCATATAACTCCGGCCCTTCGGGCTCGCATATAACTCCGGCCCTTCGGGCTCGCATATAACTCCGGCCCTTCGGGCTCGCATATAACTCCGGCCCTTCGGGCTCGCATATAACTCCGGCCCTTCGGGCTCGCATATAACTCCGGCCCTTCGGGCTCGCATATAACTCCGGCCCTTCGGGCTCGCATATAACTCCGGCCCTTCGGGCTCGCATATAACTCCGGCCCTTCGGGCTCGCATATAACTCCGGCCCTTCGGGCTCGCATATAACTCCGGCCCTTCGGGCTCGCATATAACTCCGGCCCTTCGGGCTCGCATATAACTCCGGCCCTTCGGGCTCGCATATAACTCCGGCCCTTCGGGCTCGCATATAACTCCGGCCCTTCGGGCTCGCATATAACTCCGGCCCTTCGGGCTCGCATATAACTCCGGCCCTTCGGGCTCGCATATAACTCCGGCCCTTCGGGCTCGCATATAACTCCGGCCCTTCGGGCCGGTATTACTGAGTATCCCAGATTCACAGATATTTGTCGTGGAGGCACGGGATTGATTGAAATAATGTTGTCAGATTTTTCTAAATTAGGTACATTGAAATATCGAAAATTGGAAAGTGTAATTTGTTAATTATTATTATTTTAATTAGAAATCAGGAATAAAAAATTGAGATTGAATTTTCAATTTTTTGGGGGAGGTTTAGCCTCTCCTGCCTCCTTTGACGAGCCGCCACTGTTCTGATTTCAAATACCATATATGTTGATATTTGGTTCAGCTGTTTTTGCGCTATTCAATTTTAAAATTGCATTGAGCAAGCCTCATCATTGATATAAGAAACCAGAACAGATTAAATTAAGGGTAATGTAAATGCATTTTTAAACTTGAATAGCGTAAAAACAGATGAACCAAATATCAACATAAGTATATGGTATGTTTGGAATCAGAAGAAAAAGACCTATCATTCTAGACAAAAATATACAGGGTGTTCCATTTGAAAAATGCAAGTGTTTGTCATTGTGACAGTTGACACCTGTCACTTGCCCATTTTGACATTCGAAAAAGATAATAGACATAAAACCCTACAACTTTCATATTTAAAGTTCGTATAGCTAAAGCTGTAGGTAGGGGTCAAAATATAAGGAAACACCCTGTACATTCTACAGCATTTTGAAAGTCTATCCAGCATTTGATTTTGCACAGCAAACAGCAAACATAAACATACTAACATACAGGGATTCGGAAATTAATTAGGTTTCCTGAAAAATTTCCTGATTCCTACTAAAAATTGTCGGTCCATGTTTGCGTCATAATATACTGTAATAAATGAGAAATTTATTTTTGGTTGTAGGATTTTTAGCGGAAAAATATTAATAATTTTGACTGAAAATGACTATGTTGATATGCCTGAAAAAGGTGGTGTGACACTCAAAAAATTCTCGCCTTCCGCGGTTATCTTTCGGTTCGGGGGCTACCCATCCCTGTATTATATCCAGTTTTTTGTCACAAAAAATATGCCCACCCCTTCACAAAAAGGGCCTCGCAATTCGGATGTCCACGTTTGGTTTAGCTACGCCAGTGCATTGTATTAGGGTTATTGAATTGAAAAATACTACTTTGTTGTAGGTATTGAAGCTAAATATGGTCAGATTCTCATTTTCAATGTAACAAGGCGAGGCTTTTTACCAAATCAAACTTTGATTTCATTAATAATTATATTTATTTAATTCTTATTCTGCTACAATAATAGTTGCTTTGACATTTAATAATTTATTCAAAATTCTTTCATTCATATAATACTGTGTTGTGTGGTTGCCTTTCATTCAATATTTCGCGTATATATTATCCTCCCAAAACAGATTTACATATGAATTATCGGTAAATATGGAAATAAAGCACTTTGAAGTCAAATTTTATTTTTAGTAAAATGTTATTTCATTTACTACATCCAGGAAATGTAATAAAAAGACCCTGCGCGCGGATGTTCCGAATTATGTTTAACAACTTTCCACAATATAATTCAATGTGGGTTTCAGTTTACGACTTTTACAATAATTATAATTATCGATGGTTTTAATGGGTTTCTTTGTAGAAAGATGTGTGTGGGTCGTGTTTCTTTGAAACAATAAACCAGCTTTTTGTTTCGTTTCCAGGTCTTCAGCTCCGTAGCGGAGGCAGTGTCGACAGCGCAGACTCGCGGATGCCAGTGAGCGATGGCGTGTCTCGAAATCAGCTCGTCGGTACCGGTACGACACAGTACGATCCCGAATATGCACGAATGGAAGCTTGGCTGGACGAACATCCCGACTTTGCGCACGATTATTTTCTCAGGTGAGTTTGAAATAACAGAATTTTCATCTTCGATGACCGATTCCGTTTTATAGTGTTCAGTTGAGTCTGGAATTCTTTAGATAATTTGATTCCGTTCGTGTGTAGCAATATTTTTGTAACAACACTAGATTTGTTGTAGCAACAAGTAGTTAGTAGGTTTGGGGCAAGATTGAAATTAATTATTCTTGTAGCAACACTTCCCTTGTGTAGAAGCACAACAACATCAAAGAAAAAATGTAGCACACGTCTTGAGTAAAAGTGTAGCAACACTCGTTTTGTGTAGCAACAAGTCATTTGTGGGATATTTTTTGCTCAGGGCAAGAATTTGTTGAATTTCTTATGTAGCAACACGAAAAAAAAAAAGTGGGAGTAGTTTTTAGTAGGTTTAGAGCAAGATTTCAATGAACTTATGTACCAACATTTAACAAAAATGTAGCAACACGAGCGGAAGTGTAGCAACAAGTCGTTTTGGTGGTAGTTTTTTTGGTGGGTTCTCAGGGTGAGTTTTAATGTAGCAACACTCGTTATATGAAAATGTATTGAATTTGTTTGTAGCAACATTTGGTAAAATTTAGCTTCCCGTCGGGTTTGGAATTCAAATTTTACATTTTCCTGGCTTTTGATTGGTTTGGGAATTTGAATTTTGAATATTCCCGGCTTTTGATTGGCTTATTTTTGAATTTTCCCGGCTTTTGATTGGTTTAGGAATTCAATTTTTAATCATTCCCAGGTCTTGATTCGCTTCCAAAGTCAATTTTTGAATTTTCTCGGCTCTTGATTGGGTTTAAAATTCAAATTTTAAACATTCCCGGCTCATGTTTAGAGAATGAATTTTTGATTATTCCCGGCTCTTGATTGGCTTAAAATTTTAAATATTCCCGACTCTTGATTGGTTTAGAAAGTCAAATTTCAAATATTCCCGGCTCTTGATTCGCTTCCAAAGTCAATTTTTGAATTTTCTCGGCTCTTGATTGGGTTTACAATTCAAATTTTAAACATTCCTGGCTCATGATTAGTTCAGAGAATGAATTTTTGATTATTCCCGGCTCTTGATTGGCTTAAAATTTTGAATATTCCCGGCTCTTGATTGGTTTAAAAATTCAAATTTCAAATATTCCCGGCTTTTGATTCGCTTCCAAAGTCAATTTTTGAATTTTCTCGGCTCTTGATTGGGTTTAAAATTCAAATTTTAAACATTCCCGGCTCATGTTTAGAGAATGAATTTTTGATTATTCCCGGCTCTTGATTGGCTTAAAATTTTGAATATTCCCGGCTCTTGATTGGTTTAAAAATTCAAATTTCAAATATTCCCGGCTTTTGATTCGCTTCCAAAGTCAATTTTTGAATTTTCTCGGCTCTTGATTGGGTTTAAAATTCAAATTATAAACATTCCTGGCTCATGATTGGTTTAGAGAATGAATTTTTGATTATTCCCGGCTCTTGATTGGCTTAAAATTTTGAATATTCCCGGCTCTTGATTGGTTTAGAAAGTCAAATTTCAAATATTCCCGGTTCTTGATTCGCTTCCAAAGTCAATTTTTGAATTTTCTCGGCTCTTGATTGGGTTTAAAATTCAAATTATAAACATTCCTGGCTCATGATTGGTTTAGAGAATGAATTTTTGATTATTCCCGGCTCTTGATTGGCTTAAAATTTTGAATATTCCCGGCTCTTGATTGGTTTAAAAATTCAAATTTCAAATATTCCCGGCTTTTGATTCGCTTCCAAAGTCAATTTTTGAATTTTCTCGGCTCTTGATTGGGTTTAAAATTCAAATTTTAAACATTCCCGGCTCATGTTTAGAGAATGAATTTTTGATTATTCCCGGCTCTTGATTGGCTTAAAATTTTAAATATTCCCGGCTCTTGATTGGTTTAAAAATTCAAATTTCAAATATTCCCGGCTTTTGATTCGCTTCCAAAGTCAATTTTTGAATTTTCCCGGCTCTTGATTAGGTTTAAAATTCAAATTTTGATTATTCCTGTCTCTTGATTGGCTCTGAAATTCAAATTTTGAATATTTCCTGCCATTGAATAACTTCCAAAATCAATTTTTGAATTTTCCCAACTCTTGATTGGCTTAGAAATTCAAATTTTGAATATTCCTGGCTCTTGATTGGTTCTGAAATTCAAATTTTGAATATTCCCGGCTCATGAATGGTTTAAAAATTGAATTTTTGATTATTCCCGGCTTTTGAATAGCTTCAAATTTTGAATATTTCCGATTCTAGATTGGATTAGAAATTCAAATTGTGAATATTTCTGGTTCTTGATTGGCTAAGAAATTCAAATTTTAAACCCGATCAAGAGCCGAGAAAAATTAGAATTTGAATTTTAAATCCAATCAAGAGCCGAGAAAATTCAAAAATTGACTTTGGAAGCCAATCAAGAACTGGGAATATTTAAAATCTGAATTTCTAAGCCAATCAAGAGCCGAGAATATTCAAAACATGAAGCCAATCAAGAGCCGAGAAAATTAAAAAAATGACTTTGGAAGCCAATCAAGAGCCGGGAATATTCAAAATTTGAATTTTTAAGCCAATCAAGAACCAGGAATAATCAGTTTGAATTTTAAACTCAATCATGAGCCATATGAAAATTCAAAAATTGGCTTTGGAATCCAATTATGAGCCGCGAATATTCAAAATTTAAATTTTTAAGCCAATCAAGAGCCGAGAATATTCAAAATTTGAAGCCAATCAAAAGCCGGGAATAATCAAAAATTCAATTTCTAAACCAATCATGAGTCGGGAATATCTAAAATTTGAATTTCAGAGCCAATCAAGAGCCAAAAATATTCAGAATTTGAATTTTAAACCCAATCAGGAGCCGGGAAAATTCAAAAATTGAATTTCAGAGCCAATCACAAGAGCCAAGAATATTCAAAATTTGAATTTTCAAGCCAACCAAAAGCCGGGAATAATCACAATTTCAATTTCTAAACCAATCATGAGCAAGGAATATTAAAAAAATTAATTTCAGAGCCAATCAGGAGTCATGAATAATCAAAATTTGAATTTTAAACTCAATCAAAAGTGGGGAAAATTCAAAAATTGTTTTTGAAAGCCAATCAAGAGTTGGGAATATTTAAAACTTGAATTTCTAAGCTAATCTAGGGCCAGGAATATTTAAAATTTGAAGCCAATCAAGAGCCAGGAATAATCAACTATTCAATTTCTAAACTAATCATGAATTGGGAATATTCAAAATTTGAATTTCAGAGCTAATCAAGGGCCAGGAATAATCAAAATTTGAATTTTAAATCCAATCAAGAGCCGGGAAAATTTAAAAGTTGTCTTTGGACATCAATTAAGAGCCGGGAATAATCAAAAATTCAATTTTCAAACCAATCATGAGCTAGGAATATTCAAAATTTGAATTTCAGATTCAATTAAAATAATTAAAATTTGAGTTTTGAACCCAATCAAGACTCAAGAGCCGGAAAAATTCAAAAATTGATTTTGGAAGCCAATCAAGAGCCAAAAATATTAAAAATCTGAATTTCTAAGCCAATCAAGAGTCGAGAATAATCAAAAATTCAATTTCTAAACCAATCATGAGTCGGGAATATCCAAAATTTGAATTTCAGGGCCAATGAAAAGTCAGGAATAATCAAAATTTGAATTTTAAACCCAATCAAGAGCCGGGAAAATTTGAAATTCGAAGCCAATCAAGGAGCCGGGAATAATCAAAAATTAAATTTCTAAATCAATCAAGAGCCGGGAATGATCAAAAATTCGATTTTCAACCCAATTAAAAGCCAGGAATGATTAAAAATTGAATTTTAAACCCAATCAAGAGTTGGGAAAATTTAAAAAATCTATTTTTAAACCAATCAAGAGCCGGAAAAATTTCAAAATTGAATTCTTAATCCAATCAAAAGCTGGGAAAATTAAAAAATAAGCTAATCAAGAGCCAGGAATAATTAAAAATTCAATTTCTAAATCAATCATGAGCCGGGAATATTCGAAATTTGAATTTCAGAGCCAATCAAAAGCCAAGAATAATCAAAATTTGAATTATTCTCATCTTCTCTTACGTTGCATTTTTAGTAATATTTTGAAAAAGTTTCATCTAAGGATACGAGCGTTTACGTAATGTATGGCCATGCTTAAAAGGACTTTTACGCAGTCAACGTAAGTTGATGCGTTTACGGATGCGGCTACGTCGAAAAATTTTGAATTTGCTTAAAGTTTCTATTATCATGAAAGCCTATCCTTTATGTCTTTATTGTAACACAAAAATTAGAGTGATACATCTTTCATTTAAAAAAAAAAAAAAAAAACTACCGGAGGCGCAAATATAAAATTTTAAGGCTCTATTCTTGAAGGTACGAGGTGAAACATACTACCAATTCAAGATGGATACTTTTCAGGAATTGTAGTCCTCTACTGAAATAACAATCACTGAAAATGTCAGCTTTCTATCTTTAATAGAAAAAAAGTTATGACCTTTCAAAGTTTTCCAAACTCTAAATCATATTTTTACTTCTGGCTCTTAAAACTCTTTCAATTTTTTTAATTCCAAACTGAATTTTCTGTTAATCTGTTAAGACTCTATTCTTGAAGGTTTAATGTAAAACATACTAAAAATTCAAGGTGATTGGACCTCTAATAATAAAATTATGTATTAAACCAAAAATAAACATTGACATTAATAAATAAGTACAGTCACGATTTAAAGCGGCCTTATATTATGCATAGATAAATCCAGGAAAAATAAAGTTCCCAGCCACCACAGAGCCGCGCTACGGTTTTAAAATAACTATAAAATCCCCTCAATATTCGACGGCACGTAGCGCAATAAAAACAGTCTGGGAGCAACTGCCGGGAATATGAATTTTCATTCCTTTGTGCTTTCCTGGATATTAACTGGATAGACGGGATGCCACACGCCGTGGAATTTCTTTAAAATGAAATTTGATTACAGAAAAGCTACACGTCAAGTCGTCGATTCCTGGCTGGTATCCCACGCGACGCCGGCATCGTCCAGTGCCGAATTGTCCTCGCCCACTCATGGAATTCCGAGCGGTTCCCGAGGTGGTTCCGGTGCGACGACACCGGTACGAAAAATTTCTGCCCACGAATTCGAACGGGGCGGACTACTTAAACCGATGATCAGCACGGTACGTAAGTAATTTAAAATATATTCATTTAAATTGGATCAAAAATAGAGGATTCTTTAAAGAGATTATTTTTAGAATTCTGCAAAGTCAGCGCTATAATTTTTATTCCCTTTTGTTCCAAGCAAAATCTGTTGGGAGAGTGTAAAACTTTTATGACGTCTGTTGGAGGAAACAAATAAAACAATATGTTTCGTAAACATTTTTTGCAGGTCGATGGGCAACCCACGTTTTTAACGAGTACAACAGAGGACCCTACAGGGGATATGATTTCAGCCAGTCCTACGCCGAGCCGGAGACATAGACGGAGTCGACACGAGTTGAGGCAATTGGACGAAAAAGAATTGATATTTGAATTGGTGAGTAATTTGTTTTTAAAACTTATACTTACTAGACACATATACTTCAATGAGACCAGTATACGAAAATATTTTGCTTGAAGACGAAAAACTCTCGTCTAAACGTTGCTAATGAATTAGTGTGTATGTGTATTGAAGATGTCAGTTGCACCGCGACCAAGGTTGATCTATTCTACCCTTCTTTCTGCTGCTAAGTTTGGGTTTCCTTCTTAAAGTAGCCCTTCTAGTCCTGGGTTCTTTAGGAATTTTAGGATGTCTAGCGGTTCCAGGGCTGGATTGTCTTTCTACTGTATAAGGGCATTTCCCAGGTTCTTCATCCTTGCGCGACTAACGGCATCGTAGCCAAAGTTTTCGTAGTTCGGTAGAAGATGGTGAGGTATTTCTTCTCCGTCTTCACAGAATCTGCAGGTGCTACGTTCTTCTTAACCCAACTTCTGTAGATGTTTCTTAAGTATGCAATGTCCCAAGAGAAACCCGGATAGAGTCTTGAGACTTTTCTTGCTAAAGTTGACCAGCAATTCTGATCTTTTTTGGTTGAAGTTGCCCAATAGATCTTTGGGCTTTCGTAGTCCTGGCTGTTTTAGCCATTGTTTGTTTTTTAGCCGGTTCTCTTCTTTTTAAAGGATTTCTTTGAGGTGTGCATTTCCGACGCCGCAAAATGGTTTTGGTCCAGTGAAGGGAGTAGACGCTCCCGTTCTTGCGAGTCTGTCTGCGCATTTGTTACCCTCGACACCTATATGTCCAGGCACCCAGAAGAGGGTAGTAGAGTGTTTTCACAGCTATCAGACCAATACCCACTTCTACCACGTAAAAACCCTTTTCCAGCACAGCCATCATACCACTACCCACCTCCACTGTAAACCCCCTTTAGTGAAGCTCCTACCCTGAGGAGGCACTTATTACCCACTTCCACTGTAAAGCCCCTTCCGTGAAGCCCTCCATTAATCTATTTCCAAAAGGCTCCTACTCTGAGATGGCACTTTTTTATACCTATCCCTCCACTTTCTTGAAAACTAAAGAATATTTATCCAATTCTTTCATTTATTTGTGTTCGTCAATTTTGGGGTTGGGCCGGGTCAAATTCCCAAAATTTCATATCAAAAGCGCCGCCAATCTAGAGATTTTCCCACGGTATCGAAAAACTTCTCAGGCTCAAGTGCCCCCGAATATCAGACCAATACTCACCTCTACTACGTAAAAACCCCCTTCCAGAACAGTCATCATACCACTACCCACCACCACTGTAAACAGGGTTTAAAGTGGAGGTGGGTAGTGGTATGATGGCCAAGGTTCTTGGATTAATACGGCCCCCAAATGTGCCCACGTGAACAACCGCGATATGGCAGCAGATGCTTCCCTAGCGTGATGTTTGTCCACTTGAGCTATTTTGGTGTAATTCGCCATCTTACCTGTTAGTGTTACTTCTGGTGTTTTCACCTCCTATTCGCTCAGAAGCATATATTCTGCCTCGCTGGGAATTTCCTCTACCGTAGTGAATGTCTTACTTACACTTGTCCTTTTTGGAATCAATTCTGAAATGTTTGTTGTTTGAAAGTTGTGCTACGATAGTGGGAATAATAACTCTTGATTATGTGTTATTCAGTACAACCAGTTGATCTTCGGGAAGGATCTCCTCTTCCATTGGTTCTGCTCCTCTACCTATTTTTGCATTAAAGTCTCCTCCTAGAATAGTGTGCGTTGTTGGGTTCTCTCTTATCGCTCTCGCTATGTCTTCGTATACCGTTTCCACCTCGTCATCTTCATGTGAGGAAATTGAAGATATTGTTTTCAGGATTTTCAAGTTTTTCGATAGTTTTTTACCTATTTATTAATATTCCAACTCCTCCATTGTTATCATCATCCGAACCCTTTCCATGAAGCCCTCCATTAATCTATTTTCAAAAGGCTCCTACTCTGAGATGGCACTTTTTCATACCTATCCCTCCACTTTCTTGAAAACTAAAGAATATTTAACCAATTCTTTCATTTGTGTTCGTCAATTTTGGGGTTGGGCCGGGTCAAATCCCCAAAATTTCAGATCAAAGGTGCCGCCGATCTACTAGAGATTTTCCCACGGTATCGAAAAACTTCCCAGGCTCAAGTGCCCCCAAATATCAGACCAATACTCACCTCTATCTACTACGTATAAACCCCCTTCCAGCACAGCCATCATACCACTACCCACCTCCACTGTAAACCCCCTTTCGTGAAGTTCCTACCCTGAGGAGGCACTTTTTACCAACTTCCACTGTAAAGCCCCTTCCGTAAAGCACTCCATTAATCTATTTTCAAAAGGCTCCTGCTCTGAGATGGCACTTTTTTATACCTATCCCTCCACTTTCTTGAAAACCAAAGAATATTTAACCAATTCTTTCATTTGTGTTCGTCAATTTTGGGGTTGGGCCGGGTCAAATCTCCAAAATTTCAGATCAAAGGCGCCGCCGATCTAGAGATTTTTCCACGGTATCGAAAAACTTCCCAGGATCAAGTGCTCCCGGATATCAGACCAATACTCACCTCTACTACGTAAAAACTCCCTTCCAGCACAGTCATCATACTACTACCCACCAATACTGTAAACAGGGTTTAAAGTGGAGGTGGGTAGTGGTATGATGGCCAAGGTTCTTGGATTAATACGGCCCCCAAATGTACCCACGTGAACAACCGCGATATGACAGCAGATGCTTCCCTAGCGTGATGTGTGTTCACTTGAGCTATTTTGGTGTAATTCGCCTTTTCACCTGTTAGTATTGTCTCTTCTGGCCTGGTAGAGTGTTGGCCTCCTATTCGCCCAGAAGCATATTTTCTGCCTCGCTGGGATTTTCCTCTACTGTAGTGAATGTTTTAGATACCTAAGTCTTACTTACACTTGTCCTTTTTGGAATCAATTCTGAAATGTTTGTTGTTTGAAAGTTGTGCTACGATAGTTGGAATAATAACTCTTGATTATGTGTTATTCAGTACAACCAATTGATCTTCGGGAAGGATCTCGTCTTCCTCCAACTTCTTAGCTGGAGGATGAGTTTTCGACAAAATCTTGCTGAAGGGATTCAACGAGATCATGCTTGGCTTCTTCCTTGGCACTGGGGCGTAGTCGGAAATCACCAGAGGCTCTTGAGGTTTCGTTTCTTCAGTGTCACCCAATGAAAAGACCAATGCCAGGAATTTCTTCCCAATTTAATCTATAACATATTTTTAAAACTTACCAGGTCCTCTTCTGGTCAACAATTGAGTTAGCTATGGTAGCGCCTATTAGGAGCACAACCACTTCACCTCGGCTTGAACTTTGTGCTTGCCTCTTATTGGCAAATCTTAGTCATAAGGTATGCTCATCTTTAGACATTTATCTATTTGATTGCTTCTATTACTCAGATTCTACGATAGCCATTTCTTGGATAAAATCTGAACCAATTAAATGGAAGATTTTTATAGGAAATAGAGTAGCTGAAATTCAAAAGTATATCAACATTAATATGTGGCATCATATTAAATAGGAGGAGAATCCAGCGGAGGGGTTAAAGCTTTGCATAATTCCGGTTTATGGTGGCATGGACTTGCTGATTTTTCTTTCTTCTTTTCTTCCTTTTTCTTCTGAACGGGTCTCTGGTTTGGACCCTGACGAGGTGGGCTCATTCTCTTTTTCCTTTATCTTCTTAAGGCCATATACGGGGATTTTCCCGAACCTATAGATGCTTTGATTGATCTTCTTGATGGTTTCACAGGATCCATTGTCCATGACGATGTTTAATAGCTAGCCGTTACCTTATTCCTTGCTGCTTAGTATCTTCCACAGCTGGACGCTAAGCCCTTCATTCTGTGTATTCACTAAGCTGAGAATTTTTTGGGGTCTTGCCCTTTGCTTCTTGGGAAGACGACTGATTTGTGATAGTGTGCGCTTTTGGGTTGTCGTCTCCCAGGCACACCATCAGCTCTTTGCTTCCCTGCCATCAGATCTCCAACCTGGGGAAGTGGTCTATTAACCAGTCGACTGTTTCCTTCGTGAGGCAATCAATCACCAGCATGCTTGGGCGGAAATGTATGCCCCCAAATTGGAGCTCATGCTTTGCACTTTCCGTCATTTCCTTTATACCCATGTTTCTTCCCACGAATAACTAGGGAAATAAAGGTCGACCACGTCAGAGCCCTGCACGACGTGGTAAGATGGATTACTTGAAGAGGTCGCCTGGTATCTTCAAGGCTCCGTTTGGGGCGGTGCTCTCCCACTGGATTGGAGGGTTGGTCATCGTCACCTTATTAGGTATTCGGTGATAACCTATGATGTGGTTGCTTGCAGCTAAAAAACATAGGCTGTTAGGCCATCCGTTACCTGCCGACACTCCCCTTTAGCCTCCCAAGCCGGGAAATTTTTGTTTATTCTCAGCTCTCGAATTTGTCGAAATGAAGAACTTGAATTTTCTTCATTCAGCCTGGAATAGAAAAAACATTCAGCTCTTCAATTTATCGAAATAATAAAGAAAATTCGAGATTCTTGCTCAGAAAAAAAAAATCATACAAAGATACACTACAAGACATTCTCCCTATACCGTACCCTCTCCACTGATTTTCACTGAATTTGTGCTGCTTTTAGTTGGTTTTAAACTGAAAATCACTAAACCAGTGAAATTCAGCACAAAATCAGCTGAAAGCCAGCAACTCCAGCTTTAAACTAGTGGTTAGGTGAATATTTTATAGTGTAACTTTATGTCGTATATGTTTTGAGCCAGAATCCGTGGAAGCTCCTTACTAGCCTGAAATAGAGAATATATTAATGTCCTCAACTTTGAGGTTCAATTGCTCAAAAACTATTTGAGCAACTATACTCAATTTTGCACCGATTTATGAAGAATTTGATGCTCTTTCCAATGGTGTATAATTTTTTTCAATTTGCTTGCATTGTTCATGATTATGTCAAGATTTTGAAAATTTTCCAGAGCCAAAAATAGGATTTATGTACAACCGGGCCGCAAAGCTTCTAATGGCGCCCTAATTTGCGGACGAAATTTGATATTTTTCGGACCGCAGGGCCGCAAAGTGCCACCATGGTGCAGGTTGGTGTACGCAAATGGTGTTTGAGGCCCTTCGCGTGGTTAAAACCCTCGGCTGCGCCTCGTGCTTCAATTTCCACGCGGCGGGTCGCAAACACCTTAATTGGGCTCTTAGTACATAAATAATTATTTCTCTTTATTTATTTTTTCTGCTTGAATTGGCCATCTACAAATGTCACATTCAAAAGTATAAATATCCGAATGTGTTAGTTTGTGATTCTTAAAATCGCCTTTTCGTTTAAATTTTGCTTTGCAAGTGTCACATTCAAAAGGATGAATATCCGGTATAATAATATTAGTTGGTGATTCTTCAAGAGACTTTCTTTCTAAATTTTGTTTTGCAAGTGTCACATTCAAAATGATAATTCTTCTCTATTTAATTCTCAATTTTTTGTCTATTCCCGGCACTTGAATTCGGTTTCCTAAATTTCTCTACATGAATATAGAAAGAAATTATTTATTTGTCTACTAAGTTATTTTCAATTCCTTCTGAATTTCTTCTTTATTTCTCACTTTTTCCAGCTCATTTATTTATCCATTCCTGGCTCTTGAATTTATCGAAATGAATGGAATGGAAGAGAAAACACATGGATGTCCTCTTCTCTACCATTTTCTTTCAATTTGTCTACATTTTTTACTTCAAAGATGATTTTACAGGAATTTTAAGATTTTCTTAGGTATCAATGAGTAAAATAATCCGTAACTTTGGGTGTGAGTTTCATATCAACTTTCAACTTGTTTTGTATCATGAAAAAACTCTAACTAATAAATCCTGTAAGTTTCAAGTTGCTGTGATAGCTCGAAGTATTTTTCAGGAACCTTCATATTTTACAGGAATTTCATGATTTTCTCAGGGATCAATGAGTAAAATAATTCGTAATTTTGATGTAAACTTTGCTTTGGTTGTCAATTTCATATCAACTTCCAATTTGTTTCGTGTTAAGAAGGATCTCTAATTGATAAAAGTAAAGGTGCAACACCGGTTCTAGGCCAAAATCAGTTATTTTTTCATGTAAATCTCCATAAGAAAATCTAAGGTCTGTATACAGCTATACAGGTCTACAGACAGGTCTATATATAGCTATCAGGGATGTAGCAAGTCAAATCTGGGCTCTGGTATAAGACGAGAGCGGGCCCTCTTCACCATATGGACATTGAAAAATTCAAATCTTTTTTTTTGGGGGGGGGGGGGGGGGGAATTATATGCAAAATGGCACCTGGCAAATTCGTAGGCGAGACATTTTTGGAGGGCTAACAGACAATAGTTATTTTTGTAACAAGAACCTGAAATATTTTATATAAGGTTTTCAGCTCGGCAACCGTTCTGAAAGTACCTACATACTTTCCGGATGCATTTTACTTAGGAAAGTATGGCTTTTTCCGTGATTACTTGGGCCAGGAAGTGATTACTTTTCAGCCTAGTATGGGAAGTATGTACTTTCCGGCCGAAAAAATAGTAGACGTGATACGCCTTGAAAGTATATCGAAGACATCCAGGACTCGGCTACGCCTCGTCCTTGTCTACTTCAAAAAAGCAGTAGGTACTTTCCAGACTCCTCACGTAATAGATTTACTGTTTTCATCGACAAAATCCCACAATTCCCACATCCTACAGGGGATTCGCTCATGTGACTCATGGATTTCCAGGATTGAGAATGACAATTGACAATATTGACACGAGTACTGAGACTCAAAGGGGTGACTGAAAAGAAATCTCTAGAGATCGGTATTACAGTTTTCTGTTTTGATTACCAATCGCAAAACCGAAGAATGATTATTTGAGCGGGAGTAATATGATTTTTTAAAATTTGCAGAACACATTCCGGGCCCCTGTGCGCGGCAACACTTGCACGCCCTGTTGGTACGTCCCTGACAGCTATACAGGTCTAGAGACTGGTCTGATACAGCTATTGAACTAACCCATATTACGGGCCCCCAATTTCTGGCGCTTTGTCCTCGGAGCCCCATTTACATAACCTAAAACTCATACCTTAAAAGTTGGCTCCCACCTCGTACAACTTGCATCTGCAACAAGGCACGAGGCGGATTTTATTATTAGTTACGTCATCATCAGTACGAGGAACCTTGAATAAGGTACCAAGTCACGAGGTTGCTTCGTGTGTTCCATGAGCCGCTCGGAGCCAGGTACAATCAAAGACCCTGAACGATGGAAGTCACGGGCACTGGCCTTGCGTTCGGTATTTGGCTCAAAGAACAGAGCGTACTGAGCGGAGCCGTAATCACATGACAAGCGAGTGAACAGAGCAGTTGAAAGCTGTATCAGAGTGCCAGAAATTTTAATAAAAAAACGCGAATGAGCCTGCACCGAGTACACTTTTTAAATAAACGAACGATAAATTCTCGGAGAACTCAGATCAAAATACCGAACGCACGGTGGAAAGGGGGCGAGGCTTAACGGAATGAATGATCAAACCTTAGCCCGGTATTCATAGACGGGTCTTGGTTCAAGCTCCGATTTTTGACAGTTGTGAGCATCGTTCCGTGCGGTTTGGAAACGCAAATATGGTGTCAAGTCATGCTTGAGCCAAGACGCAACCTTGAGCATCGACTATGAATATGGGCCTTAGATTTTCTTATGGAGATTTACATGGAAAAATGACTGATTTTGGCCTAGAACCGGTGTTGCACCTTTACTAATAAATTCTGAGTCAAGTTGTTGAGACGACTAAAAATATTTTCCAGGAACCTTTAAAGATAATTTCACAAAAATGTTATGATATTTTCAGGTAGGTAGGTACCTATATCAATGAGTAAAACAATCCGTAACTTTGATCGTATATGACGTCATATCAACTTTCAATTTCAAGAGCCTGGAATAGAAAAAAACATGAATACCTATCCTCTATTTATTTACCATTTTTTTTCTCAATTTTCCTAAATTTCTATTTTGAAGAAGTTTTAGAATCCCTTCAAGAAGATAACTAACAAACCAAAACGAATACTTATAATATGAATACACTACAAAGTATCAATTTTACTGCATGATAGTCGCGGTGAATATGTGTCTAGTAGGTTGGGTATAAGAGGCAAAAAAATGCTTACCCTAAGAAACAATCTTGCCTGATTACTATAAAAATTCCTAAATCAAATCGCATTGTAAGTAGAATAGAAAAGGTCCTAATGAGAGGAATTTTCCGCACACATTGCCAAAAAAAGTGGGATGAAGATAACCAGAAGCCATTGTAGGCGGTTAATGACGCACACAGTGTGTTCTGTATAGATTAAGCAAGCGTTTAATGAGCTTACTGTTGCCAGACACGTAATCGCTGCGTATAAAGCCCTTGAGAAGGGCCGATAGACTTTTATTAGGGGATAATGAAAATTGGATTTTGCTGTGTGTAGCTTTTTTTTTTTAATCCTAAGACGATTTGGACCGTGAAATCCTTAATAAGGGTTCAGTTTCTTTTACAAATCACTCCCGTTTAAATCCTATAGAGTTTGATGAGAAAAAATCCAAAATGTTACAAAACGTGATGTTAAGGAAAAACTATGACTTGGCAATTTCTTCAAAATATGAAATATTTCAATGATAAATTTCGCTCAGGAGCATCAAATGGAATATTTTTGTGAATTCTCTCTACTAACAACAAAATTTACTGCCTAATAAACTTTATACAAAAGTTCTCCTATTGAAACTGACTGATTTGCAAATTAAACGCTTTATATACAAAACCATTCAATCAAGAATTCTCTAGAATGCATTTCAATGCTTTGGGTCGTTACCTCTTTTGCACCAATATAATTTATATTGTAACTTTATTTTTCAGGTCAAAGACATTTGCAATGAACTAGAAGTCCGATCCCTCTGCCACAAAATCCTGCAAAACGTTTCGACCCTTTTGCACGCCGACAGGGGCTCCTTATTCCTGGTACAAGGCGAAAGAGGCGGCGGATGTCAAGCCCCCCAGCACCAGAACGGCGGTACCACCCTCGTAATAAGAAACCGGTGTTTGGTTTCCAAATTGTTCGACGTTTGTTCGCGTAGTACTTTGATGGAAATGGAGAAAAAGGACGAAATCCGGATAGCTTGGGGTACGGGAATCGTCGGTTATGTGGCTGAAAGTGGCGAGCCTGTTAATATACCTGATGCGTATAAGGTAAGAAGTTTTATTTTTATAAATAAGGTTCAGGTAAAGTTAAAATTACGTTTTATCTGCCATTTTTCCAAGAAACGGTTTACCTTATTTGATTTTAAAAGGGGGCCTCACACTTCACTGACTACCTAACGTTAGTAGTACCAAACTGATACGGATGTAGACATTATGGTCTACGTGACAAATAGTTTAATGTGATTCCTCTAGTGATTTTTGTAATTTATTCAAGTGGTGGTTTTAATTTTAATATTGCTGCATATCGTAAACCGAAATTAATAAGGGATTTCCAATAATTCCCTATAAAAACAATTATTATTGTCAATTGAAAATCAGTTACATTTTTCATAAAATATGAGTAAGAAACTTAGTGGTAACAATGGTACTTTTTATTTTCTCAATGGTGAACAAAAATTAATATACAATGTGTATAAGAAACTTAAAAACGAACATCATCCTACGCCTATTAAAAGGACCAGTGTTTTAGTTGGGATGGACAGTAAATTAGTGCGAACATTTTTGAGAAAAGAATACCAAAGGTGCAAAAGGTTGAAGAAAAAAAAGGTAGGAAGCAGCTGCCCGAAAATAATAATAATAATTGTGAGTAAAATAAAATTATTTTATATATTAGGCCTGGTTTATTCATCTTCAAACAAACTTGCTGGTGACTATAAATTTATCAATCTATAATCATCTTGGACAACAGATAACTGGCCAACCAATGGGGTTACAGATTGCATTACCTAACAGTTTATTACAAGGTGAATAAACCGGCCCTTATTGAAATGTTCACCTTGTGATAAAAATTGATTAGAATATTATTAAAGTTTTATAAAAGAATTTAATTAAATTGAAAGTAATAATCCGTGCTGACGAAGACCGGAAAAAAGTTCTGGGCGTCAAGAATGTCGAGAATTTTTATTTAATAAAGTTCTCCCGGAATTGCTTAATTACATAATGAATGTCATTCCGGGATACCATTTTTCGTTAATAATAAACTTATGAATTTTATATATTAAGCTAAAATAAACATTGTCAAGCCTCAAAATAAATTACATCATCTCACATCTTAATGTTTTTCTCAAAAATTGATAGGGAGGAAATTTTGGAACCTCTGGAATACAAAATAGAAGCCCATAAAACTGAAATTTCAAATTAATCCAGTGGAAAACAAACCCAAGAAAAATTCGTGGAAATTAATTTTAAAAACTAAAAATGGTATAAAATACGTGATCTCACATCTTAATGCTTTTCTCAAAAACTGATGAGGGGAAAATTTTGAGAACTTCTGGAATAGAAAAAAAAACGCAAGAAGCCCATAGAACTAAAATTTAGTATCAATCCATTACAAGACAACTACAGGAACAATTTCTGCTGAAAATTAGCTTTAAAAATTAAAAAAAAAATAATATACACCATATCACATTTTAATGCTTTTCTCAAAAACTGATGAGGAGACAATTTTGAAATCTCTGGAATAGAAAAAGAAAGACTAGAAGCCCAAAAAACTGAAATTTCAAATTAATCCAGTGGAAAACAACCCCAAGAAAAATTCGTGGAAATTAACTTTAAAAACTAAAAAAGGTATAAAATACGTGATCTCACATCTTGATGCTTTTCTCAAAAACTGATAAGGGGAAATTTTGAGAACTTCTGGAATAGAAAAAGAAACATAAAAAGCCCATGGAACTAAATTTTGGAATTAATCCAGTAGAAGACAACTTCAGGAACAATTTCTGCTGAAAATAAGCTATAAAAATTACAAAAGATATAATAAAATACACCATCTCACATCTTAATGCTTTTCTCAAAAACTGATGAGGGGAAAATTTTGAGAACTTCTGGAATAGAAAAAGAAACACAAAAAGCCCATGGAACTAAAATTTGGAATTGATCCAGTAGAAAACAACTACAGGAACAATTCCTGCTCAAAATTAGCTTTAAAAATTAAAAAAGATATAAAATACACCATCTCACATTTTAATGCTTTTCTCAAAAACTGATGAGGGGAAAATTTTGAGAACTTCTGGAATAGAAAAAGAAACACTAAAAGCCCATGGAACTAAAATTTGGAATTGATCCAGTAGAAGACAACTACAGGAACAATTCCTGCTGAAAATTAGCTTTAAAAATTAAAAAAGATATAAAATACACCATCTCACATTTTAATGCTTTTCTCAAAAAATGATGAGAGGAAAATTTTGATAACTTCTGGAATAGAAAAAGGAACACAAAAAGCCCATGGAACTATATTTTGGAATTAATCCAGTAGAAGACAACTACAGGAACAATCCCTGCTGAAAATTAACTTTAAAAATTAAAAAAAGATATAAAATACACCATCTCACATCTTAATGCTTTTCTCAAAAACTGATGAGGGGAAAATTTTGAGAACTTCTGGAATAGAAAAAGAAACACTAAAAGCCCATGGAACTAAAATTTGGAATTGATCCAGTAGAAGACAACTACAGGAACAATTCCTGCTGAAAATTAGCTTTAAAAATTAAAAAAGATATAAAATACACCATCTCACATTTTAATGCTTTTCTCAAAAAATGATGAGAGGAAAATTTTGATAACTTCTGGAATAGAAAAAGGAACACAAAAAGCCCATGGAACTATATTTTGGAATTAATCCAGTAGAAGACAACTACAGGAACAATCCCTGCTGAAAATTAACTTTAAAAATTAAAAAAAGATATAAAATACACCATCTCACATCTTAATGCTTTTCTCAAAAACTGATGAGGGGAAAATTTTGAGAACTTCTGGAATAGAAATAGAAACACAAAAAGCCCATGGAATCAAATTTTGGAATTGATCCAGTAGAATACAACTACAGGAACAATTCTTGCTGAAAATTAGCTTTAAAAATTAAAAAACATATAAAATACACCATCTCACATCTTAATGCTTTTCTCAAAAACTGATGAGGGGAACATTTTGAGAACTTCTGGAATAGAAAAAGAAACAGAAGAAGCCCATAGAACTAAAATTTGGAATTAATCCAGTAGAAGACAACTACAGGAACATTCCCTGCTGAAAATTAACTTTAAAAATTAAAAAAAGATATAAAATAAACCATCTCACATCTTAATGCTTTTCTCAAAAAATGATGAGAGGAAAATTTTGAGAACTTCTGGAATAGAAAAAGGAACACAAAAAGCCCATGGAACTATATTTTGGAATTAATCCAGTAGAAGACAACTACAGGAACAATTCCTGCTCAAAATTAGCTTTAAAAATTAAAAAAGATATAAAATACACCATCTCACATCTTAATGCTTTTCTCAAAAACTGATGAGGGGAACATTTTGAGAACTTCTGGAATAGAAAAAGAAACAGAAGAAGCCCATAGAACTAAAATTTGGAATTAATCCAGTAGAAGACAACTACAGGAACAATCCCTGCTGAAAATTAACTTTAAAAATTAAAAAAAGATATAAAATACACCATCTCACATCTTAATGCTTTTCTCAAAAACTGATGAGGGGAAAATTTTGATAACTTCTGGAATAGAAATAGAAACACAAAAAGCCCATGGAATCAAATTTTGGAATTGATCCAGTAGAATACAACTACAGGAACAATTCTTGCTGAAAATTAGCTTTAAAAATTAAAAAACATATAAAATACACCATCTAACATCTTAGTGTTTTTCTCAAAAACTGATGAGAGGAACATTTTGAGAACTTCTGGAACAGAAAAAGAAGGGTCACAAATATAAAATTTTGGGAATCTATTCTTGAAGGCTAGAGGTGAAATATACGGAAAATTCAAGACGATTGGGCGACAAACAATGAAGTTATGATTTTTTTTTAAATCGGGCACTTTTTGAGTAAACTTTACATTGACAATCGTCTAAGTTTAAATTTCTCAGACAAAAATCAATGCATATATACAAATATGAATTTAAAAAATCTATTCTCAAAGTTCTTCCATGCAAAATAAAATTTAATAGCAGGCAAATATCCTCACCTGAAAACCTATTAATAGGGATTGAATGTTTGATGGTTGCCTTGCATCTAATTTACCAAAGTAATTTCGGCCCCTTTGGGATCCAAAATTGCCTCAACCCATCTCATCATCGTAAACCTTTAATTTGCATATATTTGTATATCTTTTCACAAGATTTAATTTGCCTTAACACCCTAAATCCTTTCAAACTAAAAAACCTTTGTGGGTTAATTTATTGCAAATGGGTCCCAACTCTCAAATTAATAAATTATTATCAAATTTCACCAAAGAATATTGAATCAATATTATTTGTTCTGGCAAAGCAAACAATATACATTTCCATTTACGAAGATTGTTTGGTTTTCTTGGTTATTTACTGAGTAAAAGTAAACTTTGTTTGCCTGATGGAAAAATCGTTGAAATTCAAAAAGGAACTGCTACTACTCAATTATGGGACCACCCATCCATTATTAGAATAAAAACAATAATATCGAACCTCTCTTGGGTGAATTACCGACCATTATCTCTGCCCATGTTGATTATTAAATGGCCGCAATTTTTTTCTAATTCCCTGATGTCCGCCTTATTAGGACTGGTAATTTTTCTGCCATATTCAGCTAAAGAATTATTCCATATTCAGATTGCATTCTTGTCCAATTTTAGTTGCATTTCATTACAAATAATCGATTTTTTTGTTTCAGGATGACAGGTTCAACCACGACATTGATACCCTTACAGGATACAAGACAAAAACTTTGCTGTGCATGCCTATCAAAGATACCAATGGAGATGTTATAGGTGTGGCACAAGTAAGTAGTAATTTACATATTATTTTAATATTTATAGAAAGTAAAGTTTAGTTTGTAGTATACTTTAATGCGAAATTTTCGTCATCCCTTATATATTTTGTCTATATTATATTTATATGTCTGGGATGTTGCTTTCGGGTGCCAAGTTTTAAATGAAACTTTTGCGAAACGTGTATCTCGTTTTGGCTCCGCAAACTTGCCACTCTGTCTTTTGTAATAGTTTTCGAGTGCATTTAGCAGAGGCGGATTTACAAGTATTTGGATTGTGTTCAAACAATTTTAGTCCCCAGCAGAACCGTCAATATTTGAAGTACATATAAGTACTTTAAGTATTTTACTTGAATTAGTATTTTTGTTATACACTTGTACTTGTATTTCCAATATCTATTCTAAAATACTTGGATTTTTACTTGATTATGTCAAGTATTTTGCTTGAAGTATTTTGAGTACCTACCTTGAAATAAATAAGTTTCTGGATTTTCTTTAAATAATAATCTTGAATAAGTACAGGCTATTCGATTATATTTAAGCCCATGCCTCTATTTATAGAGAATTTAATGCTCTTTCTAATGGTATATAATTTATTTCAATTTGCTCGAAATTTAACAAAGATATGAGCAATTTAGGCAGAATTCCATTCAAATTATGAGAAATGTTAGAGAAATTAGGCGAAATTATATTGTAATTCTATTGGAATTATGTAAAATTTACACGGAATTCCATTGAAATTACATAGGATTTCAAATAGGTATGCTAAATTCCATCAAAATTATGCCAAACTCAAGTGAAATTGAAGGAGTAATGACGTGGAATCCCAAAAAAAAAAAAAAAAATAATTTTAGAAAAATTACATGGAATTCTATTCTATAGAAATTATGTGAAAATTTCTAGAACTTATGCGAAATTTCAGTCAAATTAAATGGAATTAAATGAAATTCTGTAAAAAATATGCAGAATTTTATTGAAATTATGCTGAATTCCATGAAAAAAAAAACCGTTCAACTTTAAAAAAATTACATAGATTTGTATAGAAATTATGCTCAGTGAAATTCGATGGAATTCTAGGAAAATAGCGTCGAATTTCAAATACATCACATAAAAATCCATATAAATTATATGTGGAATTCCATAAAAATTTTGCAAAATTCCATAAAAATTATGCGAAATCCCGTAGAAACTATGAGGAATTCCATTGAAATTATGCTGAATACCATGGAAATGATGCCTAATTTTTTACAAAGTATGCAAAATTTCATTAAAAATATGCCAAATCCCATTAAAATTAAGCGCGAAACTCTAGTGAAATTAAATGGAAAACGACAGAATTCAACCAAAAACGTCGAGTTTCAAAAAAATCAAAATCCCATAAAAATTGTGTGACTTTAAGTTGTATGGAATTCCATAAAAACTTTGCCAAATTTCATAAAAACTATGCAAACTTCCACTGAAATTATGCGGAATTGCGTGAAAATTATGCGGAATTTCATGAAACTTGTATGCAATTAAATAAAATTCCAGTAAAATTTAATAAAGTTGCAGAGATACGATGTAGAATTCCAAACAAAAATATGTGGAATTCCTGCGGAATTCCAGTAAAATTATGAAATTCCGATGAAATTCCATTATTTTCCTGGAGTTCCAATTAATTTCTCCAAAATTTTAAATTATTCTCCTAAAATTCCAAAAAAAAAACTATGACAATATTAAAAATTCATGTAAATTTCTGAGGAATTCCTGTGAAATTTCTTGCAATAACAGAAAGCGTGTACAATTTTTTTTTTTTTTCAAATTTACCAAAAAAAATAAAAAAAATTCAGTAAATTTCAGAGACTTTGACACGGTTGCGCTGAATTTCACCTTATATTTCAAAATTCAGGCAAATTTTTATTAATCAATTAATAATAATTATTGAAATTTGCAATAACTAATAAGTAGGTAATAAGCTACTAGCAACTTACTCAAATATTAAAAATCTTGTGAAATTATTTGGGATTTGGGAATTCCGATGAAATTCCATTAATTTTCCTGGAATTCTAGAAAATTCCTGTAAAAATTACGTGAAATTCTCGTGAAATTTTAAATAATTCTTGTGAAATTATTTGTAAATTCAGTGAAATTCCGGTAAAATTATGTAGAATTTCAAAAAAATTCCAATGAAATTCTATCTATGTTTCGGAAATTCCACGTAATTCTTCCGAAATTCCAAGTTTTTTTGTGGAATTCCAAAAAATTACATTAAATTTTCATGCAACTTTGAATAATTCTTGTGAAATTATTTAAAATTATAGTGGAATTACGTGGGATTCCGGTAAAATTATCAAGATTTACGACGAAATTTTCCTAGTATTCGACTCAAGGCCTCCAGAGTTTGAAGTTATTCTCGTGAAATTCCAGAAAATTCCCATAAAATTTCAAAATATTTACTCAAAATTACGCTAAAATTCTTTAATTACTTATTATTGATAATTTTCAGTGGAATTTTGAAGAATTTCTATGGTATCACTTGGAATTCTCGAAAATTGAAAGAAGAAATCGCAAAAATGTCCTTAGATTACATAAAATTCTAGTGAAATTACCTAAATTTTTTATTGAATCCCCAAGAATTCTTGTGAAATCACATATGGAATTCCCGTAGAATAACTCAAAATTTAAGTGAAATTCTGAAATAATATGAAATTCTCCTGAAATTCCGAAAAGTTCTTGTGAAATTAGGATTTGAAATAGGTATCCTAATTTCCATCAAAATTATGCGGAATTCAAGTGAAATTAAAGGAGTAATGACGTGGAATTCCAAAGAAAAAATGAATAATTTTAGAAAAATTGCATGGAATTCTATAGGAATTTTGCAAAATTCTATATAAATTATACAAAAATTTATAGAAATTATGTGAAATTTCAGGAAAATGATGCGGAATTCTAGTGGAGTTAAATAGAAAACGACATAGAATTCCAAAAAAAATTCAAAATCCCATAAAAATTATGTGAATTTAAGTTGTATGGAATTCCATAAAAATTTTGCGAAATTTCATAGAAACTATGCAAAAGAATTTCTGCGGAATTCTATAGAAAATATGCATTAGGTATTCTATAAAAACTATGCAAACTTCCACTGAAATTATGCGGAATTACGTGAAAATTATGCGGAATTTCATAAAAATTGTGTGCAATTAAATAAAATTCCAGTAAAATTTAATAATAGGGATACGACGTAGAATTCCAAACAAAAATATGTGGAATTTCTGTAGAATTCCGGTAAAATTATGAAATTCCATTATTTCCCTGGCGTTCCAAGTAGTTTCTCCAAAATTTTAAATTATAGGTACTCATGATATTCCAAAAAAAAATCTATGATAATATTTAAAATTCCTATGAATTTCCGAGGAATTCCTGTGAAATTTCTTGCAAATACCGATAATTTCCTTGAAAATACATGCATTTTTAGTAGAATTCCAGAGAATTTTTATGGAACTACGAGGAATACTGGTGTATAATTTTTCCAGTAAATTTCAGAGACCTTGACATCGACGTTACGGTTGCGCTGAATTTCACCTTATACTTCAAAATTCAGGCAAATTTTTATTAATCAATTAATAATAATTATTGAAATTTGCAATAACTAATAAATAAGTAATAAGCTACTAGCAACTCACTCAAATATCAAAAATCTTGTGAAATTATTTGGAATCCCAGGGAATTACGTGGAATTCCGATGAAATTCCATTAATTTTCCTGAAATTCTAGAAAATTCCTGTAAAAATTACGTAAAATTATCGTGAAATTTCAAATAATTCTTGTGAAATTGTTTCGAAGTTCAGTGAAATTCCGGTAAAATGATGTAGAATTTCAAAAAAATGCCAATGAAATTCCATCTATTTTCCGGAAATTCCACGTAATTCTTCCGGAGTTCTAAGTTGTTCTCGTAAAATTCCAAAAAATTCCCGTAAAAATTACATTAAATTTTTATGCAACTTTGAAAAATTCTTGTGAAATTATTTAGAATTAATGTGGAACTACGTGGGATTATTTTATTATGTGATACTGCGAAAGACTTACGACGAAATTTTCAAGGCCTCCGGAATTTTAAGTTATTCTCGTGAAATTCTAGAAAATTCCCATAAAATTGCAAAATATTTACGTAAAATTACGTGGAATTTTTAAGAAAAAGAAAAGTCCTGTAGGAATCCTTATAAAATTCAAAAAAAAAAAAATACTTAAAGTTACTGATAATTTCAATGGAATTTTGAAGAATTTCTATTGAATTCTCGAAAACTGAAAGAAAAAATCGCAAAAATTTCCGTAAATTACATAAAATTCTAGTGAAATTACCTAAATTTTTTATTGAATTCCCAAGAATTCTCGTGAAATTACATGGAATTCCCGTTGAATAACTCAAAATTTAAGTGAAATTCTGAAATAATTTGAAATTCTCGTGAAATTCCGAAAAGTTCTTGTGAAATTACTTAATACTTTAGTAATATTCCTGTAGAGTTAATCGGAATTTTAGTGGAATTTAAAAAAAAAAATTCTGAAATTCCAGAAATTTTCTTCAAAGTTACTTGGAATTCCCGCGGAATTGAAAAAAAAAACCCTTCCTACAGAATAACTAGAAATTCCATAAAATTTCCATGAAATAACTTAGGTAATTTTACTGAAATAAAATTACTTGAACTTCTGAAATTATTTGGAATTCTAGCAAAATTTGAAGAAATTCCTTAAAATATATGAAAATTCTCTTGAAATTCTTGAAGCTTCTTAAAAAAACGTATAAATAATTATGAAATTCCAAAAAAAAATCGTAAAATTATTTTTTAAATTTCAGCAAAATTCCAAGGAATTTTTATGAAATAATTCAGAATTTTAGTGGAATTCCAAAAAAAATTACGTGAAATGACCTGAAATACTCATGAACTACTTTAATTTGTGAAATTACATGGAATTCCAAAAAAATTCTGTGAAAATACAGAAAATTTCTTTGAACTAATTGAATTTTTAGTGGAATTTCGAAGAATTTTTATTTTTGTTTCTGTCTAAAATGACGATTTGGAAATGATATCAGGGTTGTTTTCCATTAATTTTGACTCACTCTATATTGATTGGTATAGTAAAAATTGAGCAAAAGTGAAAAATAAAAAAATCGAGTTTTTCATAGGGTACCGCTTTGAATTCTTATTTCAAAATATTCAAACCTTAATTGAAATTTTCAATATTTGTAGCTCTTATCAAGCTCTAAAAGGCCCATAATTTTCAATATTCCCAGGTTTATAGTTATTGAGCAAATTGAGTTTGACAAAATTCGGACCGAAAATCAATTTTGAGGCTCAATTGCTCGAAAACTATTCGAGGTATCAAACTCAATTTCACACAGATTTATAGAGAATTTAATGCTCTTTTCAATGGTATATAATTAATTCCCATTTGCTTGCAAAGATATGGGCCATTGTTTATGACCATGTCAAAATTTTGAAAATTTTCCAGACCCAAAAATAAGATTTCCTTTAGGATTGAGTTGAGTTTGAAGGTTTTGATAAAATTCGGACCAAAAGTCAACTTTGAGGCTCAATTGCTCAAAAACTATCTGAAGTATCAAACTTAAGTTTGCACAGATTTATAGAGAATTTAATGCTCTTTGCAATAGTGTATAGTTTATTTCAATTTGCTCGAAATTTAACAAAGATATGAGCTATTGTTCATGACCATGTCAAGATTTTGAAAAATTTCCAGAGCCAAAAATAGGATTTTCTTTTTGTTTCTGCTCAAAAAGGCGATTTGAAAATGATGTCAGGATTTTTTTCCACTAACTTTGATCCACTCTATCGATTGGTAAAGGAAAAATTGAGCAAAACTGAAAAATAAAAAAATTGAGTTTTTCATAATAAGGGTACCTACCTACCCCCTTTGAATTGTGATTTCAAAATATGCAAACGCTAATTGCTCGGTAACCGTTGAGCAAATTGCATTGAAATTTTTAATATTTGTAACTTTTATCAAGCTCTAAAAGACCTGTAATTTACAATATTCCCAGGTTTATAGTTTTTGAGCAAATTGAGTTTAAAGTTTTTAATAAAATTCGGACCAAAAGTCAACTTTGGGGCTCAATTGCTCAAAAACTATTCGAGGTATCAAACTCAATTTTGCACAGATTTATAGAGAATTTAATGCTTTTTCCAATAGTGTATAATTTATTTCAATTTGCTCGAAATTTAACAAAGATATGAGTTATTGTTCATGACCATGTCAAGATGTTGAAAATGTTTTAGAGTCAAAAGTAGGATGTTCTTTTTATTTTTGTTTCTGCTCAAAATGGCGATTTGGAAAAGATGTCAGAGTTGTTTTCCACTAATTTTGAGCCACTCTATCGATTAGTAAAGCCAAAATTGAGCAAACCTGAAATATAGAAAAAATGAGTTTTTCATAAGGGTACCTACCCCCTTTGAATTTTGATTTCAAAATATGCGAACCTCAATTGCTCGGTAACCGTTGAGCAAATTGCAGTGAAATTTCTAGGAATTGTAGCCCTTATCAAGCTCTAAAAGTCCTTTAATTTACAATATTCCCAGGTTAGAAGTTTTTGAGAAAATTGAGTTTGAAGTTTTTGGCCAGTTATGACTCTAAATTTTGTACATTCCTAGAAAAATATACCTCTTATAAACACTTTTTCATTAAGGCTAAAAAGTCTACTTGCAGTGGAAATCCTATTTCTCAAGATTTAGGAATGATTCAGTATCGACTTATATGATTTAACATTAAAACAAAATGGTTTGTTTGACCTTCCCATTCCTACAACATAAAATGATGTATCTTTTGGCATCTGGCACCGGATTCCTGCTGCGGTTTCACAAAAGAGGCCAGACGCGTTGGTGCTGCTCTTTTATTAGCCCAACCCGAGTAGTAGACATCAGAACAGAACCGGACTTTTCGGTGTTAAATAAAATGGCCCATAAATATTGTTTTATACAAATTTTCCCATATAATTATGCAAATACCCATACAATTATGCAGCAGAGACAATTTGTTTTTAATTACATTCTTAATTCTTTTATAGGTAATCAACAAAATGGGCGACCAACCTTTTACCAAACAAGACGAAGAAGTATTTTCCAGTTACTTGCAGTTTTGCGGCATCGGTCTAAGAAATGCTCATCTCTACGAGAAATCGCAGTTGGAAATCAAGAGAAATCAAGTACTTTTAGATCTGGCCAGGATGATTTTCGAGGAACAAAGCACCATTGAACATGTGGTTTTGAGGATATTGACTCACACTCAAAGTTTGATTCAGTGTCAGAGAGTCCAGGTAAGATATCTATAGAGTTTCACATTCATTCAGTTTCATATAAATTATCCAGCAAAAATCAATAATCTATTTTTCTTTTTTCTTTTGGCCAAACCCTCTTTAATTTGAATTGGCATTTAAATTTTTGGCACGTATACGGAAGTTGTACTGAATTTGATATTCAAATTTTAAAAGTGGCTTTATATTTCTTGGGACGAAAGTTTTATTACCTAATAGGGAATTTATACTTAAAAATTTAATCACAGTTTCATCATGCATATAATATTTCAATTAAAATGATAAATTCTTCAAAAACTTTAATTAAGAAGAAGAAGTTGCTTTTAATGAGTTGTATATTTAAAGCTATCATTTTGCTATACCAAAAAAAAAAATCCTTAAGATTAATTAAGATCTTCCAATGTCTCGAAACTTGAAAGGGAGCAATTAGGAGCCTAAAATAACCCCCAAATATTATTGGGAAAAGAGAGGTAGCAATGACGTCACTGTGCTGAAGGAAATTGACCAGAAAAATTATTGAGTCTAAAAACATGTCTATACCCTCAAACCTAATTTAAATTGCTTTCCTTTGAGGCTCAATTATAAGCAAATTAGCTCTCACATGTAATAAAACTTTACAGACTGGTAATGGTTTATTAATTGACTTTTTGAGTTTGTGTCTCGAAACAACTTGAACTTAAAGTAAATTGGAATTTGAATAATTGCTTGTTCGATTTTACTACCCAGAAAATTTATATCACATTAATGTAAATGTAAGTTTAGCATTTTTGGCTCGACATTGCTAAACAAAATCGCTCATCATTCAATCAATATTCCACAAATTCCAATGCATATTTATGTATTCTTAATCAGAAATAAATGCTCTTTAAAATAAAATAAACACTTGAATCATTTATCTCGAATAGTTTTTGAGATATTGAGCATCAAAGTTGATTTTTTTTTTAAAATTTTGAATGTGATATTTGTCACAATTTTTTTTTTGTTGAGTTTTTCAAATTTTCAACTTCACCAATCGTAAGAGGAGATCAAATTTAGTAGTAAAACATTTTCGTAATTTTCATATTCGAGGTTTTAGGGGCCTGCAAAAAATTCAAAAGGGTTTTTTTCAATTTTGGTCCTGAAAAATTCTAATCATCTGACATTTGTGTGGCAATCGTCCATACCTCAATCAAAATTATTTCATAAATTCCAATACATATTTATATATTCTTGATCAGAATTAAATGCTTTTCAAAGTAAAACAAACTTGAATCATTTACCTCAAATAGTTTCTGAGATATTGAGTCTCAAAGTTGAAATTTTTTTTTTAAAATTTTAAATGTGATATTTGTCACAATTTTTTTTGTTGGGTTTTTCAAATTTTCAACTTCACCAATCGAAAGAGGAGGTCAAATTTATTAGAAAAGTATTTTAGTGATTTTCCTATTCGAGGTTTTAGGGCCTGCAAAAAATTAAAAAGGGTTTTTCAATTTTGGCCCTGAAAAATTCTGATCATCTGACATTGCCACACAAAATCGCCTTCAGTCAAAATTTCATAAATTCTAATGCATATTTCTATTTTCCTGATCAGAATTAAATGCTTTTTAAGATAAAATAAAATTGAATCATTTATCTCAAACAGTCTTCGAGATATTGAGCCTCAAAGTTGAAACTTTTTTAAAAAATTTTGAATGCGACACAGTGTTGCCAACCGTACTATAATTATAGTATTTGTACTATAATTGAATGGTTATGTACTATGTACTATCAAAGATCATTATAGTACGCCTGAAATACTATAATTATGCATTATCAAATTATTAAGTTTTTTACTGGAAAATTCCTTATTCCAATTCTCCTTAGCCTTTTTTAAATTCTAATATGTTGGCTACAAGCCCTTAATCTATTCACTTCTTAATCCTAATTTGTAGCCTAATCCTATTGGTTTCCTAATGTATTAGCGTACAAGCTCTTATGTCTAGTCACCATTTTTCTTTTTTTTTTTTTTCAGCTGAATAGACTGTCGTTTTAGTATTTTTTAACAGTTAACATTTTAAATGTCAACTGTCAAAAGTGTTAGTTTAGTGTTTTTTTGGTGACTGGGTTTACACTGTCAATTGTCAATTTCATTGAATTTCCTGAGCGGGTCCTTTTTTTTTAACCAAAAAAGATGTTAACGAACGCACACCTATTTAATTTTTAAAATTATTTTTAATTTTGTTGTTTTTCGCGGGAAAAATTTGAAATTTTAGTGTGATGCGCCCCTGACTTTTCTCTTTTCCTCCAAAAAATGTCATAATTTTTTCTTGAATGGTTTTCCAGACAAAAAAAATATGGGTATATTTTCCACAGGTGAAATTTAAAATTTTACTATGATACGTCCCTGACTTTCCTCTTTTTTTCCAGAAAATGTCATAATTTTCTCCTAAATAGTTTTCCAGAAGAAAAATAAAATGTTAGGTGGTGCATTTATTATTTAGTTGATTTTCAATAATTTCCAATGGAGTTATTTTTCACTGGAAAAATTTGAAATTTTACTAGGATACGCCCCTAACTTTCTTCTTTTTTTCAAGAAAATGTCAAAATTTTCCCCTGAATAGTTTTCCAGCAAAAAAATAAAATATTAGATGATGCATTTATGCCTAATTAAGTTGATTTTCATTAATTTCCAATAGGATTATTTTCCATTTGAAATTTTACTATGATACGCCCCTGATTTTCTTCTTTTTTTCCAGAAAATGTCATAATTTTTCCTTAAATAGTTTTCCAGAAAAAAAAAGTTAGATGGTGCATTTATGCCTAATTTAGTTGATTTTCAATAATTTCCAATGGGGTTATTTTTCACTGGAAAAATTTGAAATTTTACTATGATACGCCCCTAACTTTCTTCTTTTTTTCCAGAAAATGTCAAAATTTTCCCCTGAATAGTTTTCCAGCAAAAAAATAAAATATTAGATGATGCATTTATGCCTAATTAAGTTGATTTTCATTAATTTCCAATAGGATTATTTTCCATTTGAAATTTTACTATGATACGCCCCTGATTTTCTTCTTTTTTTCCAGAAAATGTCATAATTTTTCCTTAAATAGTTTTCCAGAAAAAAAAAGTTAGATGGTGCATTTATGCCTAATTTAGTTGATTTTCAATAATTTCCAATGGGGTTATTTTTCACTGGAAAAATTTGAAATTTTACTATGATACGCCCCTAACTTTCTTCTTTTTTTCCAGAAAATGTCAAAATTTTCCCCTGAATAGTTTTCCAGCAAAAAAATAAAATATTAGATGATGCATTTATGCCTAATTAAGTTGATTTTCATTAATTTCCAATAGGATTATTTTCCATTTGAAATTTTACTATGATACGCCCCTGATTTTCTTCTTTTTTTCCAGAAAATGTCATAATTTTTCCTTAAATAGTTTTCCAGAAAAAAAAAGTTAGATGGTGCATTTATGCCTAATTTAGTTGATTTTCATTAATTTCCAATAGGATTATTTTCCATTTGAAAAATTTGAAGTTTTACTATAATACGCCCCTGACTTTCCTCTTTTTTACTAACTCAAAAATGTCATAATTTTCCCCTGAATAGTTTTCCAGAAAAAAAAATAAAATGTTAGATGGTGCATTTATGCTTTATTTAGTAGATTTTCATTAATTTCCAATAATATTTTCCATTTGAAAAATTTGAAATTTTACTATGATCCGCCCCTGACTTTCCTTTTTTTTTCCAGAAAATGTCATAATTTTTCCTTGAATAGTTTTCCATAAAAATAAATAAAATGTTAGATGGTGCATTTATTATTTAGTTGATTTTCATTACTTTCCAATGGAGTTATTTTTCACTGGAAAAATTTGAAATTTTACTATGATACGCGCGTGACTTTCCTCTTTTTTACTAACTCAAAAATGTCATAATTTTCCCCTGAATAGTTTTCCAGCAAAAAAATAAAATATTAGATGATGCATTTATGCCTAATTAAATTGATTTTCATTAATTTCCAATAGGATTATTTTCCATTTGAAATTTTACTATGGTACGCCCCTGACTTTCTTCTTTTTTTCCAGAAAATGTCATAATTTTTCCTTGAATAGTTTTCCAGAAAAAAAATAAATAAATGTTAGATGGTACATTTATGCCTAATTTAGTTGATTTTCATTAATTTCCAATAGGATTATTTTCCATTTGAAAAATTTCAAGTTTTACTATAATACACCCCTGACTTTCCTCTTTTTTCCAGAAAATGTCATAATTTTCCCCTGAATAGTTTTCCAGAAAAAAAAATAAAATGTTAGATGGTCCATTTATGCTTAATTTAGTAGATTTTCATTAATTTCCAATAATATTTTCCATTTGAAAAATTTGAAATTTTACTATAATACGCCCCTGACTATCCTCTTTTTTTCCAGAAAATGTCATAATTTTCCCCTGGACAGTTTTCCAGAATAAAAATTAAATGTTGAATGGTGCATTTATATCTAATTTAGTTGATTTTCATTAATTTCCAATGGGGTTATCTTTCACTAGAAAAATTTGAAATTTTAGTATGATACGCCCCTGACTTTTCCCATTTTGTCCAGAAAATTTCATATTTTTTTTTTGGTTAGTTTTCCAGAAAAAAAATAAAATGTTAGATGGTGCATTTATGCCCAATTTAGTTGATATTCATTAATTTCCAATGAGGTTATTTTCCACTGAAAAAATTTGGAATTTTACTATGATACGCCCCTGACTTTCTTCTTTTTTTTCCCCAAAAATATCATAATTTTTCCTTGAATAGTTTTCCAGAAAAAAAAAATAAAACGTTAGATGGTGCATTTATGCCCAATTTAGTTGATTTTCATTAATTTCCAATAGGGTTATTTTTCATTTGAAAAATTTGAAATTTTACTATGATACGCCCCTGACTTTCTTCTTTTTTTCCAGAAAATGTCATAATTTTCCCCTGGATAGTTTTCCAGAAAAAAATAAATTGTTAGATGGTGCATTTATATCTAATTTGGTTGATTTTCATTAATTTCCAATAGGGTTATTTTTCATTTGAAAAATTTGAAATTTTACTATGATACGCCCCTGACTTTCTTCTTTTTTTCCAGAAAATGTCAAAATTTTCCCCTGAATAGTTTTCCAGCAAAAAAATAAAATATTAGATGATGCATTTATGCCTAATTAAGTTGATTTTCATTAATTTCCAATAGGATTATTTTCCATTTGAAATTTTACTATGATACGCCCCTGATTTTCTTCTTTTTTTCCAGAAAATGTCATAATTTTTCCTTAAATAGTTTTCCAGAAAAAAAAAGTTAGATGGTGCATTTATGCCTAATTTAGTTGATTTTCAATAATTTCCAATGGGGTTATTTTTCACTGGAAAAATTTGAAATTTTACTATGATACGCCCCTAACTTTCTTCTTTTTTTCCAGAAAATGTCAAAATTTTCCCCTGAATAGTTTTCCAGCAAAAAAATAAAATATTAGATGATGCATTTATGCCTAATTAAGTTGATTTTCATTAATTTCCAATAGGATTATTTTCCATTTGAAATTTTACTATGATACGCCCCTGATTTTCTTCTTTTTTTCCAGAAAATGTCATAATTTTTCCTTAAATAGTTTTCCAGAAAAAAAAAGTTAGATGGTGCATTTATGCCTAATTTAGTTGATTTTCATTAATTTCCAATAGGATTATTTTCCATTTGAAAAATTTGAAGTTTTACTATAATACGCCCCTGACTTTCCTCTTTTTTACTAACTCAAAAATGTCATAATTTTCCCCTGAATAGTTTTCCAGAAAAAAAAATAAAATGTTAGATGGTGCATTTATGCTTTATTTAGTAGATTTTCATTAATTTCCAATAATATTTTCCATTTGAAAAATTTGAAATTTTACTATGATCCGCCCCTGACTTTCCTTTTTTTTTCCAGAAAATGTCATAATTTTTCCTTGAATAGTTTTCCATAAAAATAAATAAAATGTTAGATGGTGCATTTATTATTTAGTTGATTTTCATTACTTTCCAATGGAGTTATTTTTCACTGGAAAAATTTGAAATTTTACTATGATACGCGCGTGACTTTCCTCTTTTTTACTAACTCAAAAATGTCATAATTTTCCCCTGAATAGTTTTCCAGCAAAAAAATAAAATATTAGATGATGCATTTATGCCTAATTAAATTGATTTTCATTAATTTCCAATAGGATTATTTTCCATTTGAAATTTTACTATGGTACGCCCCTGACTTTCTTCTTTTTTTCCAGAAAATGTCATAATTTTTCCTTGAATAGTTTTCCAGAAAAAAAATAAATAAATGTTAGATGGTACATTTATGCCTAATTTAGTTGATTTTCATTAATTTCCAATAGGATTATTTTCCATTTGAAAAATTTCAAGTTTTACTATAATACACCCCTGACTTTCCTCTTTTTTCCAGAAAATGTCATAATTTTCCCCTGAATAGTTTTCCAGAAAAAAAAATAAAATGTTAGATGGTCCATTTATGCTTAATTTAGTAGATTTTCATTAATTTCCAATAATATTTTCCATTTGAAAAATTTGAAATTTTACTATAATACGCCCCTGACTATCCTCTTTTTTTCCAGAAAATGTCATAATTTTCCCCTGGACAGTTTTCCAGAATAAAAATTAAATGTTGAATGGTGCATTTATATCTAATTTAGTTGATTTTCATTAATTTCCAATGGGGTTATCTTTCACTAGAAAAATTTGAAATTTTAGTATGATACGCCCCTGACTTTTCCCATTTTGTCCAGAAAATTTCATATTTTTTTTTTGGTTAGTTTTCCAGAAAAAAAATAAAATGTTAGATGGTGCATTTATGCCCAATTTAGTTGATATTCATTAATTTCCAATGAGGTTATTTTCCACTGAAAAAATTTGGAATTTTACTATGATACGCCCCTGACTTTCTTCTTTTTTTTCCCCAAAAATATCATAATTTTTCCTTGAATAGTTTTCCAGAAAAAAAAAATAAAACGTTAGATGGTGCATTTATGCCCAATTTAGTTGATTTTCATTAATTTCCAATAGGGTTATTTTTCATTTGAAAAATTTGAAATTTTACTATGATACGCCCCTGACTTTCTTCTTTTTTTCCAGAAAATGTCATAATTTTCCCCTGGATAGTTTTCCAGAAAAAAATAAATTGTTAGATGGTGCATTTATATCTAATTTAGTTGATTTTCATTAATTTCCAATGGGGTTATTTTTCACTAGAAAAATTTGAAATTTTAGTATGATACGCCCCTGACTTTTCCCATTTTGTCCAGAAAATTACATATTTTTTTTTTGGATAGTTTTCCAGAAAAAAAATAAAATGTTAGATGGTGCATTTATGCCCAATTTAGTTGATTTTCATTAATTTCCAATAGGGTTATTTTTCATTTGAAAAATTTGAAATTTTAATATGATACGCCCCTGAGTTTTCTTTTTTTTTCAGAAAATTTCATAATTTTCCCCTGGATAGTTTTCCAGAAAAAAATAAATTGTTAGATGGTGCATTTATATCTGATTTAGTTGATTTTCATTAATTTCCAATGGGGTTATTTTTCACTGGAAAAATTTGAAATTTTAGTATGATACGCCCCTGAGTTTTCTTTTTTTTTCAGAAAATTTCATAATTTTCCACTGGATAGTTTTCCAGAAAAAAATAAATTGTTAGATGGTGCATTTATATCTGATTTAGTTGATTTTCATTAATTTCCAATGGGGTTATTTTTCACTGGAAAAATTTGAAATTTTAGTATGATACGCCCCTGACTTTTCTTTTATTTTTCCAGAAAATTTCATAATTTTCCCCTGGATAGTTTTCTATAAAAAAAAATAAAATGTTAAATGATGTATTTATGTCTAATTTAATTTATTTTCATTAATTTCCAATAGGTTTATTTTTCATCTGATAAATTTGAAATTTTAGTATGATACGCCCCTGACTTTTCTCGTTTTGTCCAGAAAATTTCATAATAGTTCGATCTCTGTGTGTCCCACCAGGACAATTGGTGGTCATCTGTCTCCAGCAGGATACTATAATTTGTACAAATGTATAGTATTTGTAATACCCATTTAGAATAACCCCATCCTTATTTATCAATCACGAATCAGATGAAACAAAAAATTACCAACAAAAACGAACGTCGATTGCTAATACGTCAATTTCATGTACAAATAGGAAATTCCTAACCTAATTTTATTTGTGTGTCAAGAAGCGACATACGTTTTGTCACTAGAACAACTGGTACTTTTAAATAGGCATTAAAAATACTATACTATAATTTTATAGCGTTCTATACTATAATAGATGATCCGCAGTTGGCAACACTGATGCGATACTTGTCATAATTTTTTTTTTTGAATTTTTCAAAATTTTCAACTTCACCAATCGAAAGAGGAGGTCAAATGTATTAGAAAAGTATTATCATGATTTTTCTATTCGTGGTTTTAGGACCTGCAAAATTCAATTTTGGCCCTGAAAAATTCTGATCATCCTATATTGTCTCATAACTCAACTAATATTACATACATTTTAATGCATATTCATATATTCCCAATCAGAATTAAATACTTTTTAAGATAAAATAAAATTGAATCATTTATCTCAAACAGTTTTTGAGATATTGAGCCTCAAAGTTGAAACTTTGTTTCAAATTTTGGAAAACCTTCAAAGCCGATAATCTCAAAAACGAAGCTCTAGAGCTTCTGATCCAAATATCAGCTACACGTTTGTAAATATTTCATTGAAAAAGCTCAATTTATGATTTAAGATAATTTGGAGTCACTGAAATTGTTAACAAACTGCAAATCCACAATGTATTGGGAAATTAAATGAATGGAGGTAAAAGAAAAATCATAACTCAGCTTCCTGAGCCAAGTATCAGGTAAAATTTTGTGAATATTTCATTGAGAAAATTCAATTAATGATTTATGAAAACTTGGACAAAATTCTGAAATTTTCAACAGAATCACAATGTATTTGTTGTGGATGTTGATCATCCGACATTGCTTTATAAAATCGCCCATAACTCAATTAATATTTCACAAATTCCAATGCATGTTTATATATTCTTAATTAGAATTAAATACTCTTTAAGATAAAATAAAATTGAATCATTTATTTTTATGTTTACTGGGTAAAATGGCCACCTAAAGTCTACTTTGATGTTTCTGCAATGTGAAGTTATGTGCATTATTTTTCACCATTTCTTAGATTTGAGCTCTACATTAAATTTTTCAAGTTTTACAATAAATTAAAGAAAAAATGAGATTACGACAACCAGAAATTAATGATTGTTCTTAACTTTATAATGGAATTCTCCTTTTTCAAATCCCTATAAACACCCCAATAATAGTTTCTCAATCCAAAATCAAATATTTCCGATAGGATTGACTAATGCCCCATCAAACCGCTCATCAATCTCGTAAGTTTACTGCCGGGAGGGCTTTTCCGTGAGCCCATTAATTTCGACAGCGAAGTGCTCCTGCCGCTCGGTTTGTCGGTCAGTTTGCCTTTAAATTATTTAAGTTTGAGATTGTTGATGCAAAATTTTAAGCTACAATATAATCTAATCAACACGTGAATTGACCTGGATATGTTACAAGATAAATAGATTACAGGATAATCTTGTGTATTATGGTTGGTGCAATTTTAATAATGGAAAATGTCTCTTAGATATTATATTTTGAATTTCACATATTAATTATTAATCGAATAATTATTTTCAGATACTTCTAGTTCATCAAGGATCAAAAATTAGCTTTTCTAGAGTTTTCGATTTTGAAGCCAGCGATCTTAGTAGTGAGGATGGTGAGTCTAGGACAAGGTAAATAAATTGATTTTGTTCAAATGCTATTTTTTAATTTGATTTGGTCTATCTCTATACATACTTATGAAGCTCAAGTTTGTTAAAAAAAATCTCCATCTTCTATTCAATTTTTCCACACAAAATTCGTTTTTGTATGACTGTTATCAAATATAACGTATATGCACACGCCATCAAAAACTTTAGAGAGAATTTGCCTTGAATGTATAAATAAGGAGAATCTGGATCAACCACAGAGTTGAAAATTGTAATTCAGAATAGGATTATTTATGTATTTCAGAAGGAGAAATTTTATTTCAGAAAATAAAAATAATTGTAACTTGGATGAAATTTTAAAAATCAGAAATATGAAAATGTAATTCAGAGTTGGTAGCCAGGATTGTAGTTCCTTGAAAGGGATAAAATTCAGTGAAAGATTCAGCTTTCTATCTATAATAGAAAAAAAGTTATGACCTGTCAAAATTTTCCAAAAAAATCATAAGGGGGGTACCTTCTTACTGAAACGATGAAATTTCAAATTTTTTTCTATCGAGATTTTGTGTCCTAATCGTCCCTCGTGATACCCTGAACTCCATAAACTAAATTATTCTCAGATTTGAAGCCTAAATCTATGAAAAAACGCACTCAGAAAAATTGAAAAATTAATAGATCACCCCAATTGCTTAACACGATTTTATCTCAGGAACTATAAGTGCAAATGTGCTGAAATTTTCAGGGATTGTAGTCCTTTGAAAGGGATAAAATTCAGTGAAAGATTCAGCTTTCTATCTATAATAGAAAAAAAGTTATGACCTGTCAAAATTTTCCAAAAAAATCATAAGGGGGGTACCTCCTTACTAAAACGATGAAATTTCAAATTTTTTTCTGTCGAGATTTTGTGTCTTAATGGTCCCTCGTGATACCCTGAACTCCATAAACTAAATTATTCTCAGATTTGAAGCCGAAATCTATGAAAAAAGGCACTCAGAAAAATTGAAAAATTGATAAATCACCCCAATTGTTTAACACGATTTTATCTCAGGAACTATAAGTGCAAATGAGCTGAAATTCTCAGGGATTGTAGTCCTTTGAAAGGGATAAAATTCAGTGAAAGATTCAGCTTTCTATCTATAATAGAAAAAAAGTTATGACCTGTCAAAATTTTCCAAAAAAATCATAAGGGGGGTACCTTCTTACTAAAACGATAAAATTTCAAATTTTTTTCTGTCGAGATTTTGTGTCTTAATGGTCCCTCGTGATACCCTGAATTCCATAAACTAAATTATTCTCAGATTTGAAGCCGAAATCTATGAAAAAAGGCACTCAGAAAAATTGAAAAATTGATAAATCACCCCAATTGCTTAACACGATGTTATCTCAGGAACTATAAGTGTCAATGTGCTGAAATTTTCAGGGATTGTAGTCCTTTGAAAGGGATAAAATTCAGTGAAAGATTCAGCTTTCTATCTATAATAGAAAAAAAGTTATGTCCTGTCAAAATTTTCCAAAAAAATCATAAGGGGGGTACCTTCTTACTAAAACGATAAAATTTCAAATTTTTTTCTATCGAGATTTTGTGTCTTAATGGTCCCTCGTGATACCCTGAACTCCATAAACTAAATTATTCTCAGATTTGAAGCCGAAATCTATGAAAAAAGGCACTCAGAAAAATTGAAAAATTGATAAATCACCCCAATTGCTTAACACGATTTTATCTCAGGAACTATAAGTGCAAATGAGCTGAAATTCTCAGGGATTGTAGTCCTTTGAAAGGGATAAAATTCAGTGAAAGATTCAGCTTTCTATCTATAATAGAAAAAAAGTTATGACCTGTCAAAATTTTCCAAAAAAATCATAAGGGGGGTACCTTCTTACTAAAACGATGAAATTTCAATTTTTTTTTTGTCGAGATTTTGTGTCTTAATGGTTCCTCGTGATACCCTGAACTCCATAAACTAAATTATTCTCAGATTTGAAGCCTAAATCTATGAAAAAACGCACTCAGAAAAATTGAAAAATTAATAGATCACCCCAATTGCTTAACACGATTTTATCTCAGGAACTATAAGTGCAAATGTGCTGAAATTTTCAGGGATTGTAGTCCTTTGAAAGGGATGAAATTCAGTGAAAGATTCAGCTTTCTATCTATAATAGAAAAAAAGTTATGACCTGTCAAAATTTTCCAAAAAAATCATAAGGGGGGTACCTTCTTACTAAAACGATAAAATTTCAAATTTTTTTCTGTCGAGATTTTGTGTCTTAATGGTCCCTCGTGATACCCTGAATTCCATAAACTAAATTATTCTCAGATTTGAAGCCGAAATCTATGAAAAAAGGCACTCAGAAAAATTGAAAAATTGATAAATCACCCCAATTGCTTAACACGATGTTATCTCAGGAACTATAAGTGCAAATGAGCTGAAATTCTCAGGGATTGTAGTCCTTTGAAAGGGATAAAATTCAGTGAAAGATTCAGCTTTCTATCTATAATAGAAAAAAAGTTATGACCTGTCAAAATTTTCCAAAAAAATCATAAGGGGGGTACCTTCTTACTAAAACGATAAAATTTCAAATTTTTTTCTGTCGAGATTTTGTGTCTTAATGGTCCCTCGTGATACCCTGAATTCCATAAACTAAATTATTCTCAGATTTGAAGCCGAAATCTATGAAAAAAGGCACTCAGAAAAATTGAAAAATTGATAAATCACCCCAATTGCTTAACACGATGTTATCTCAGGAACTATAAGTGCAAATGAGCTGAAATTCTCAGGGATTGTAGTCCTTTGAAAGGGATAAAATTCAGTGAAAGATTCAGCTTTCTATCTATAATAGAAAAAAAGTTATGACCTGTCAAAATTTTCCAAAAAAATCATAAGGGGGGTACCTCCTTACTAAAACGATGAAATTTCAAATTTTTTTCTGTCGAGATTTTGTGTCTTAATGGTCCCTCGTGATACCCTGAACTCCATAAACTAAATTATTCTCAGATTTGAAGCCGAAATCTATGAAAAAAGGCACTCAGAAAAATTGAAAAATTGATAAATCACCCCAATTGTTTAACACGATTTTATCTCAGGAACTATAAGTGCAAATGAGCTGAAATTCTCAGGGATTGTAGTCCTTTGAAAGGGATAAAATTCAGTGAAAGATTCAGCTTTCTATCTATAATAGAAAAAAAGTTATGACCTGTCAAAATTTTCCAAAAAAATCATAAGGGGGGTACCTTCTTACTAAAACGATAAAATTTCAAATTTTTTTCTGTCGAGATTTTGTGTCTTAATGGTCCCTCGTGATACCCTGAATTCCATAAACTAAATTATTCTCAGATTTGAAGCCGAAATCTATGAAAAAAGGCACTCAGAAAAATTGAAAAATTGATAAATCACCCCAATTGCTTAACACGATGTTATCTCAGGAACTATAAGTGTCAATGTGCTGAAATTTTCAGGGATTGTAGTCCTTTGAAAGGGATAAAATTCAGTGAAAGATTCAGCTTTCTATCTATAATAGAAAAAAAGTTATGACCTGTCAAAATTTTCCAAAAAAATCATAAGGGGGGTACCTTCTTACTAAAACGATAAAATTTCAAATTTTTTTCTGTCGAGATTTTGTGTCTTAATGGTCCCTCGTGATACCCTGAATTCCATAAACTAAATTATTCTCAGATTTGAAGCCGAAATCTATGAAAAAAGGCACTCAGAAAAATTGAAAAATTGATAAATCACCCCAATTGCTTAACACGATGTTATCTCAGGAACTATAAGTGTCAATGTGCTGAAATTTTCAGGGATTGTAGTCCTTTGAAAGGGATAAAATTCAGTGAAAGATTCAGCTTTCTATCTATAATAGAAAAAAAGTTATGTCCTGTCAAAATTTTCCAAAAAAATCATAAGGGGGGTACCTTCTTACTAAAACGATAAAATTTCAAATTTTTTTCTATCGAGATTTTGTGTCTTAATGGTCCCTCGTGATACCCTGAACTCCATAAACTAAATTATTCTCAGATTTGAAGCCGAAATCTATGAAAAAAGGCACTCAGAAAAATTGAAAAATTGATAAATCACCCCAATTGCTTAACACGATTTTATCTCAGGAACTATAAGTGCAAATGAGCTGAAATTCTCAGGGATTGTAGTCCTTTGAAAGGGATAAAATTCAGTGTAAGATTCAGCTTTCTATCTATAATAGAAAAAAAGTTATGACCTGTCAAAATTTTCCAAAAAAATCATAAGGGGGGTACCTTCTTACTAAAACGATGAAATTTCAATTTTTTTTTTGTCGAGATTTTGTGTCTTAATGGTTCCTCGTGATACCCTGAACTCCATAAACTAAATTATTCTCAGATTTGAAGCCTAAATCTATGAAAAAACGCACTCAGAAAAATTGAAAAATTAATAGATCACCCCAATTGCTTAACACGATTTTATCTCAGGAACTATAAGTGCAAATGTGCTGAAATTTTCAGGGATTGTAGTCCTTTGAAAGGGATGAAATTCAGTGAAAGATTCAGCTTTCTATCTATAATAGAAAAAAAGTTATGACCTGTCAAAATTTTCCAAAAAAATCATAAGGGGGGTACCTCCTTACTAAAACGATGAAATTTCAAATTTTTTTCTGTCGAGATTTTGTGTCTTAATGGTCCCTCGTGATACACTGAACTCCATAAACTAAATTATTCTCAGATTTGAAGCCGAAATCTATGAAAAAAGGCACTCAGAAAAATTGAAAAATTGATAAATCACCCCAATTGTTTAACACGATTTTATCTCAGGAACTATAAGTGCAAATGAGCTGAAATTCTCAGGGATTGTAGTCCTTTGAAAGGGATAAAATTCAGTGAAAGATTCAGCTTTCTATCTATAATAGAAAAAAAGTTATGACCTGTCAAAATTTTCCAAAAAAATCATAAGGGGGGTACCTTCTTACTAAAACGATAAAATTTCAAATTTTTTTCTGTCGAGATTTTGTGTCTTAATGGTCCCTCGTGATACCCTGAATTCCATAAACTAAATTATTCTCAG